CCTCTTCCAGGCCAGCTCTCTGCTGTGGCCCGGGAGTGCAGTGGAGGATGGTCCAAGTCTTTGGGCCCTGCACCCGCATGGGAGACCAGGAGAAGCACCTGGCTCCTGGCTTCGGATCAGCACGATGTGCCAGCTGCAGCGGCCATTGGAGGGTGAACCAACAGTAAAGGAAGACTCTCTCTCACTGCCCACTCTGCCTGTCCAAAAAAAAAAAAAAAAAAAAAAAAAGAGAGAGAGAGAGAAGGGGAGAGATAGAGAGTGAGAGAATCTTCCATCCACTGGTTCATTCCCCAAATAGCCACAAAGGCTGGTGCTGGACTGATCCAAAGCCAGGAGCCAGGAGAGTCTTCCACATGGGTGCAGGGGCCAAGCACTTGGGCCATCTTCTACTGCTTTCCCAGGCCATAGCAGAGAGTTGAATCGGAAGTGGAGCAGGTGCTCCATCGAACCAGCACCCTTATGGGATTCTGTGCGGCAGGCGGAGGCTTAGTCCTCTAAACTATAGTGTCCTACCCCACCTTGTCTTAGGGGATCTCCTTCACTTCTCAAGAGTCCTAACTTCAACCTTCCCTCTCCTCCAGGAGCAACTCAGATGTAGAGAGCAGTTTGAAAAGGCTGTCTTTCTCACTTCATGTCCAACATGGTCTTTTGTGTATCATGGAAAGAATTTCAGGGTTTCTTTATCTTCTATCTGTCTGGCTCTGTGTTAGGTATGATTTTGTCTAACACCCTGAACTGCTACCTCCTTTCAGCTAAACAAGTCACTGCAAATTACCTTATTCTGTGTGCTCACTTTTGTACAAGGTATATATTTTAAATTCTCATTTTAGAATCTTTGCCATGAATCCCATGTTATGTGATATTAATATATCCACTTATATTTTTTAAAAAATATCTTGCATGTTTATGTATATATATATTTAAATACAAGGTAAACATGACAAAATGTTAAAAAGTATTAAATCTGGCTAGCGCCACAGCTCACTTGGCTAATCCTCCACCTGCGGCGCCGGTACCCCAGGTTGTAGTCCCGGTTGGGGCGCCAGATTCTGCCCTGGTTGCTTTTCTTCCAGTCCAGCTCTCTGCTGTAGCCTGTGAAGGCAGTGGAGGATGGCCCACGTGCTTGGGCTCTGCACCTGCATGGGAGACCAAAAAGAGGCACCTGGCTCCTGGCTTCAGATCGGCGCGGCGCAGTGCACCGGCCGTAGCAGCCATTTGAGGTGAACCAATGGAAGGAAGACCTTTCTCTCTGTCTCTTTCTCACTGTCTAACTCTGCCTGTCAAAATAAAAAGTATTAAATCTGTGTATACTCATTGAGTTATTTATATTTTCTGTATTATCTGAAATACTTTAAAAAGACAGATCAGTTGTGTAGTTCTTATAGCCATTTGTAGTTTTATTAATTAGTTTTTCATGGCTCCAAGATGCTTAAAGACTTAAGAAATAAAGTAAAGTTTATTTAGCTTGAAGTTTTGGATATTCAAGTCCAAGATTAGGCGCATTCATTGCTTTAGCTTCTAGTGAAGGCAGTGAGTGACAGCACATCATGCTATGAGTGCATGTGGGAAGAAAAGATTGTGTCTAATTTTTTTTTTAGATTCACTTATTTGAAAGGCAGAGTGACAGAGAGAGAGAGAGAGATCTTTCATCTGCTGGTTCATTCCCTAAATGCCTACAATATCTGGGTCAGTATCAGGCTGACACCAGGAGCAATGAACTCCACCTGGGTCTTCCATGTGGGTGGCAGGGGCCCAAGTACTTGGAACATCCTCTGCTGCCTTCCCAGGAATGTTAACAGGGAGATGGATTGGAAGCAGAGTAGCTGGGACTCAAACTTGAACTCTGATAATGGGATGCTAGTTTTCCACAACTCTGGATCCCAAAAAGTCATATCTTGAACTGGAGCAGAGAGAGATTGGGCTGGGCCAAAATAACATTATAACAATCACTCTTGGGAGAACTACCTTACAGGGGCACACTGCCTGTGACCAAAGCCCTCCGACTAGGCTCTACCTGTTTAAATTTCCACAATTTTCCAATAGCACTATACTGTCCTTTGGAGAATATTTAACATTCAAACCATAGCATAGAGTACTTTAAAATGTTTGTGGAAAAAACAAGTTAAATTATTGTTTTAAACATTTTTTTATTAAAAAAGTAAATATTATGGTTGCAAAAATATTTTGAAATCCCTGCATGAAAATGTTCTTCAAAATATTCATAGAAAAATCATATTATGAAAAAAAATATGCATGGATTTCAATTTTTCTTTCCACCTAAAAAATTATTTTCATTCTGTTCTTCCATGAAGCGTTTGAAGTACCTTTAGTGCATTCAAGACTGAGGAAATAGCAAGTGCTGAGGGCCCAAGGCAGGAAGACCATGCCAGATGCATTTAAGTAACTGTAAGTAGATGAAGTAGTAGCCAGAGCAGCGAGAGGAAGGCACACAGCTCTGAGTCAAGGGAGGTAGTAGTGAAACCAGATTGTGGAGGATTTTGTAAGCCACTGTTCTTTGTGTCCTGGCTGTTAGTGACCATATCTACTGTGGCAAGACAGGTTTTTACAGAGGGATGCTTCTAACATAGTGTGTAGGATGTTCTTCCTTTGATCTGGTTGCTAAACTTAGAAGCTACATCTGTTCAGTGATAGCTGAATTTCTTGATTACTTATTGCTGATAATATAGTTCAGGTAAAATTTTGCTTTTATATTGGTTAGTGCTCCCACTGGAATGTGAATCCAATATTTACTTGTAACAAATCAGCCTCAGTAATACGTTAGTATCTTTTTTTTTTTTTTTTTTTTTTTTTGACAGGCAGAGTTAGACAGTGAGAGAGAGAGAGAGAGAGAGAGAGAAAGGTCTTCCTTCCATTGGTTCACTCCCGAAATGGCTGCTAAGGCCAGCGCGCTGCGCTAATGCGAAGCCAGGAACCAGGTGCTTCCTCCTGGTCTCCCATGCGGGTACAGGGCCCAAGCACTTCGGCCATCCTCCACTGCCCTCCCAGGCCACAGCAGAGAGCTGGACTGGAAGAGAAGCAACCGGGACAGAATCTGGCGCCCCAACTGGGACTAGAACCCAGGGTGCTGGCGCCGCAGGCAGAAGATTAGCCGAGTGAGTCGCGGCACCAGCCTACATTAGTATCTGTTAGACACCACAGAACACGTAATTGGGAGATTATTTAGAACTATCTTATTTTACTACTAGTAAAATTTTAATGAATTAAAATATATAAAATTTATTCCATTGCATTAAAAATGCTTATTTTGGAAAAAAAAAAGTGTATTTTTATGAGAGAGAGAGAGAGAGAGAGAGAGGGAAACAGAGAGAGAATGAATGAGAACACAAACACCGCCATCTACTGGTCCACTCCCTAAATGCCTACAATGTCCCTGGGGGTCCAACTTCAGAGACAACTACTCAGTCTAGATCTATCCAACTAGGTGGCAGGGCCCCAACTTCTTAAACCATCACCTGCTGCCTCCTAGCTGCATGTTAGTGGAACTGGCTAATCAAGAGTGGAGCTGGGACTAGAACTCAAGCACTTCAATATAGGATATGGACATCCCAACTTGGAATTTAACCACTAAACCAAACATCCACCCAAATGTTTATTTAACATTTTTTAACTTTAAGTGTACAATTTTAGCTACATTAAGTACATTCACATTGCTGTAAAACCATCACCACAGTCTATCTACAGCACTTTGTCTTGCAAAAATGAATCTCTATGTCCATTAAACAATAATTCCCCATTCTTCCCTCCTCCCACTCCATGGTCACCAGCACTCCACTTTCTGACTCTGAATTTGACTACTCTCGGTACTTTATATAAGTGGATCATATAGCATTTGTCCTTTATTTTACTTGACACCATGCCTTTAAGTTTTGACTATGTGGTAGCATGTTTCAGAATTTGCTTCCTCTTTAAGACTGAGTAATGTTCCACTGCATGTTCACCCAGCCCTCCAGATCTGTTAGTTATGCATCCATGGATTTAACCAACTGTGGATTGAAAATATTTGAAAATAAAATTGTGTCTCTACTGAACCATGTATAGTCATTTTTTTCTTGTCATTATTGCCTGAACAATATAACATAAAAACTCCTTGTACTAGTTATTATAAGAAACTAAGGATGATGTAAAATATATGGGAGGATGTGCATAGGTTTTTGCATTTTATATGAAGGCCTTGAACTCACAGATTTTGGTATCCTCCATGGTCTTAGAACCAATCCCTTGCAAATACCAAGAAATGCTGTATATACCATTTGTACCTTTTTGTTTATCCATTCATTTGTTTTTGGACACTTGAGTAATTTCCTTTTGGCTTTTGTGAATCATGCTCCTATGAATACGTATGTACAAACGTCATTTCAAGACCCTGCTTTAAATTCTCTTGGGCATATATCCAGAAGTGGAATTGCTGATTCATATGATAGTTATATTTTTAATTTTTTGAGGAACTGTTGTACTGTTTTCCATAGCAGCTACTCCATTTTACATTCTCTCCAACAGTGCACAGGTTTCCAATTTCTCTACATCCCTGTCAACACTTGTTATTTTCTGATTTTTGATGGTAATCATGTAATGAGTATAATAGGGTGTCATGTTCTTTCTGTTTCCATTTTCCTGATGCTTAGTAACATTAAGCATCTTTTCATGTGCTTCTGGGTCATTTATATATCTTCTTTAGAGAAATATCTTTTCAAGTTATTTTCCCATTTTTATATCTTCCTGTTTCTTTGTTATCAAGTTTCAGGAGTTCTCTATATATTCTGGATATTAATTCCTTATTAGATGCGTGATATTTTCCCCTGTGGCTGGGTTGTCTTTTTATTCCATTAATAGTGTTCTTTGATAAACCAGTTTGCCACATTGATGAAGTGCAATTGTTCTCGTTCCCTGTGCCTTTGTATCATAAACAGGAAATCATTGACAAATCTAAAATAATGCTTTCCCTCTATGTTTTCTTACAAGAGTTGTATTTATTTTTGTAGGGTTGAACTTTGGAGAGAACCAAGCAAATCCTTGGGCATCAGCATTGTTGGTGGACGAGGGATGGGGAGTCGTCTAAGCAACGGTGAAGTGATGAGGGGCATTTTCATCAAACATGTTCTTGAAGATAGTCCAGCTGGCAAAAATGGAACCTTGAGACCTGGAGACAGAATAGTAGAGGTACCCTTCAGTGAGCTTTCTGTGTCAGAATTCATCTCCTGTTCCTTCCTGTTTACCAAGGGAATTGTCATCTTTGTACATATTACTCAATGTAATTTTAGAGTAAAACATGTTTATGGTTAAAGTATTTCTTTTCATTCATAATTTTCTCTTATGATGACAGATTGTATATCTTGGTGTAGAGAATGATGTTTGCAGATATAACCAGCCATTTAAAAAACATTGGCCCCTAATTAAAATAATTATGTTTGGTTTGAATAAACAAAGCAAATTTCCTAGGGAAAATTAAATTGTTTAAAATCACACACACACACACACAAATGTACACATCATCGTTAAGTTCTCCAGTTAGATTTTATTTTAAGAAATTCTTTATCATTACTACTTCACCATAGATAAACTTTGTGGTAGAAGATTTTTTTTCGAAATGAGTCTTTTCTGTTAAATCTTTAATGCTAAGACCTTGATTATGTTTCGTGTAAATGCTTTCCCTCAGTCTACCCAGGTTCTTCCTCCTGCTTCTTAGCACAGTGTCTGTTCACCACCAGAGGCTCTTCATGGTATTCGTGTGCTTACGTACCTGTATGTTTACACATATTTGTATTTTGTTATATGCAAGAGAGAGACATGTGGTCAAATTATACATAATTCCTTAATTCAAAGCAAAATTTAGCATTTTAATTAGACTCTTGTGAGTCACTCATTTACTCAGCAGACATTCCTAAAGGGCTGTTGCATTCCCAGGGTCATAAGAAAAACTGGGCAGCCTGTGGTAAGCAAGGCTCTACACCTGACTGCCAAGTGGGACAGACTTGATGTGAAATCAAATTCTTCAGCTTAGTGTGATGCATTATTTGAACAAGACAAGTATAGTTTTATTTTAAAAGTTAAAGAAAGGTTACCTGACCCGGATTCGACAATTTCCAGATGAAGACAATGTAATTGTAATGATCGTGTAAGTGATTGCCTCATTTTCTAAAGCCATGTAACTTACATATTAAAATATCTTAATTATTTAGAAAAAAACTACAGCAACCATGTCTTTACAATGAACAATTTGAGGTTCTTATTTATTCCTTCATTGATTTATTGTCTCTGAGAGCAGAAGGAAAGAAATTGAGAAGAGAAAGCAAATGCCATGTTTCTTTTCTTTTTATGATTGTTTAGGAAGAATGATAGATTTTTAAGGAACAATTTCAGTAGTCCTAAAATTTCCAGTTTTGTATTATCACAAGAAATTTATTTTATGCATACTTTACCTTTGATCCACATAGAAAAAAAATTAAAAATTCACAAGTCTTTCTAAAAAGTATGGGTTGTGGTTTGACCAAAGTGCTAAGTACATTTAATAAGCTTAAATATTTCCTTCAAACTGAAAAGAAGGGAGTTTTTGGTGTGTTGTAAAATATTCTATGTAATTTAGCAATGATTTTGTGTATGTTCTATGTGTAGGAGCTTAACCAGGAGAGAAAGCCTTAGGCCCATATCATCCTGGGAATCCTAAAACATGACTCTGCTAAGTTTCTGAAAATGTGTGTTGACTTTGTAAGCAGAGACCTGCAAAGTATTCCATTCTGAGTGTAGAGTACTTTGGACTTTGGCAAAGATATTTAACACCCTGATAAATTTTCCCACTAATGGAATAATATATAGTAGACATGCATAGTGACTTTTGTTCTAAAAGTTAGAAGTCATTTTAGTATGTACTGGAAAATAGGATATCATCAGGAAAACAATATAACAGAGATCTTCACCTAAATAACATATATATGTGTGTGTATATATATATGTATATATATATATAAATATAAATCTGTTACAGGTGATAATGTTACATGCAAAGATCTAATAATTAATTTCATTTTTCAGTGTTGTGTCCATTTTGAGATTGTTTTTATTTTGTTGCATATACCATATCATGGTTATTGGAAATTATAAAATAATAATTGCATCCTATAATTTTCTGACAGGATTAGCATTTGGCCTTTTAAACTATTTTCCTCCTTGCTCTTAGTTCATATAAAGTACAAGCTGAGTTGATCATCACCCAAGCAAGCCATGGTCAATGAAAAGTTACAAAATAACTCATTTTTCAACTATTTATGCGAGAATTACTAACAAATAAGCACAATTTCTTGGCTTACAGCTCCTTTCATGTCTATTGCAAAGATTCTTTTGCAAAACTAACCTTATCATAGTCTGAATTTTCTGGACATCAGAATTTTGTTTTTAACTTCAAGCTTCCCCAGGGAACAATACGGACAGCATCACCCAACTACTTTTTAAATTACTCAATAATGAATTAGAAGAAAATTAGGACAGTGACTTTTACGATGAAAATACTACTGTGGGACAATTCCCTTGTATTTCTTTAATGTTGATTTCTCAAAGGAACAACTGAGCAATGTAAGAGGGGCAGAAATAGTCTTCATTCCAATCTATTATTATTACATTTCATTATTGGAGACAGATATCAATGTTTAAAATAAGGGACCACAGATCTGCTAGACAAATGAGAAGTTCTGCAGCATCACAAAGTAGACTTAGTTATTTTTGACAATGAAACATGTTTTCCAGGAGCCTAACCAAGCATCCTCAAATCTCCAGATCCACAAGTTGTTCTGTTGTTCTATAGCTTCTTGAAATGTTAAGCTGAGGCCTTCCATTGCAGGTGGATGGAATGGACCTCAGAGATGCAAGCCATGAACAAGCTGTGGAAGCCATTCGGAAAGCAGGCAACCCTGTAGTCTTTATGGTACAGAGCATTATTAACAGACCAAGGGTAAGCAAACACAAAGGGCAAGGTAGGCATTTCCAAACAGCGCTCAACTTGGAATCTAATGTGTGAAGGACCAAGTTGTCTATATGAACAAAGACAATGATTTTTGAAATCTCAGACTTGGTAGAAGTTTCTTCTGCTTTTTAAAAATTGAATTATCCTGGAAACCCCTTCCGACATGCTTAATAAAGACCTGAAGTCTGTTGAAGACACAGAAGCAAGATATATTGGTGGCCATAGATATCTAGATGATTAATGACCTATATTTGTTCAAGTCAGAACATCCATAAGTTGTTAAAAATAATGTGGTGTGGACATTCAGGTTAATAGTCCAGGATCTCTAGAGGAGTAACTTAGTGTCCAGAAACATGACATTTTCTTTAAATTTATTCTTTAGGCAGAATCTCTTGCTTATGCAATCCATGATCTTTAGTGAACATTAAATTCCCATGGGGTATATTTTGGTAATTTACAAGTGATTTCCTAACTGCTATTTTCCAACTCTAGTTACTGTATAGCCGTTCATCATTTTATAGCTGTGGTAGACAAAAACCCACTCACCCATTTTACTGTGTAAAAATGGGTGAAATAGATTTAAAATATTCTAGAAATTATAAGCATTTGTAACAAATGCTGTGTTGTATATGCCCTAAAGATGCTGAATTTAAAAATTATGCCAGAGCTTAAAACTGTGCTTTGTGTTACTTCTTTATGCTTCACTGGGCAAAAAAAATTCCCAGTTGCATCAGTTATTAAATATAATTGAATCACCTTCTCATCAAAGTTACTCATTTGCTCACAAGTTTGCATATTATTTCAGCAGTTTTCTAAGTGTCCTAAAGCTCTTAGAAACTCCACTTCTGGATTTAGCAACCACTGTCATACTGAGTCTCTGAAATTACCTGGTTCTAATTGTTCAGATTGGTTGTTTTTGAAAGCAAAAATATTAACATGTGTAAGAGCAGTTAAGGCATCATCTAAAACTTAAAATATGTAATTTAATGTACATTTAATTTTATCTTGCCAAATTGAGAATTCAAGGTTTTAATGCTCAAATGAAGGATGAAGCCAACAACTCTAGATGAGATCAAAGTAGCATCATTATTCTTTGCCATGGAATACAGAGCACCCCAATGTATCTTACAGGTCTTTTCCTTTGTTGTCAAGACAGGCACACCTCTGATCTGGGTTCACCACAAGTGAATTTAGCAACTCTTAATGTGAGCAGTTATCTCCACATCTGTAGTTCTGAATCATTCAGTTGTTTGTTGTTAGGTAATAATTATCCATTCAGATAGAAAATCTTCCAAATGGTAGAGCTGCATTGCATTGTATTCTTTACAAATGCTGTTCAGTTTGTTTAAGTAACTACAAATCTTGTTATAGTTGTTTCCATTTGTTGTGTTAAACATAGGCACAGCATGATAATGTTGGTAAATGCCTGTTTGAGTTAAAGCTACTCTTTTTGTGGGTGGGTGAGTTTTATTCCTTTGTTGTTTTATTTTTAATTTACAACTTTTACATCACTAGGGACAGTTCAAGAAACTGCTGAGTAGTGATTCTCAATGTTACTTTAATGTTTAAACTACAAATATTTCTTTATATGTTTATCACATTTTCTTGGGAGCTGGAGAGATTATTTCATACACCTGGATAATATTCTTATTTTTACTATCCAAAGTGTAATGATGCCTCATTTTATGGCAATTATTCCAGGATGCATCTTGCTTAGAATGAAATGTTTAGTCAAGTTAGACTTATTTTTTCATTTAAAATGAAGTATACTTTGTTTCCAGTGATATTTTTCCCTTTGGAAGTAATCATGTCTCCATTAATTTAAAGAAAAAAAATATGCATACTTAGGAGTCTCTTAGTAGTAAATGATTTATTTCTGGATATAGGATAAAACATACAGAAACCGAAATGCCAGTCCATCTTTTTGGTCCTTTGGGCATTCAAGAATCAGACTTTCCCAGAGTAAACCTGAGATTGAGCCAGAACGATGATGCTTTACAGAATTTGGTCTGAATATGTTGTCCCCTCAAAAAGTGGACCCCATTAATCCAGGTCAGAGGATGCTTTTGTCTTGTCTGCACTGCTTCTCAGTTAATATTATCTCTGCTTTTGTCAGCCCTTAGGACTAAAAATAGGTATTTCTTCACTGATTTTTTTTAATAGAAAATAGTCTGTTTCCATAAATCTTTCCCTAGTAGGAGAGTGACCTACAATTTCATCTGCTATACTCATCCTGTGCTCTTATACTTTGCTTCCAGGGCCAAATTCTAATCCTATAAGATTTTCAAATCAACATAAAATAAAATAAAAAAAGCTAGAGATCTCCTACTGTATTCTATTTCTTGCCATATGATTTTGTTTTCTATTGTGTTACAGAATTATAAAGGACACTGAACCCTAAAAATAGCATGTATAAGAAAAAGCTTAGAAATACTCTCCACCCTCCATAGCATAGACTTATTTGCCTGGGATTTGTTTTTCATCTCTGCCCAGTCATTTCTTCAACCTTAGTGAATGGTCCCATTCCTTGGCATTTGTAATCTTCTCTTTGGTAAAGCAGGAGTTGACATTTTAAACTGAAAAGCAGGGAGAGAGTTGAGATGAGCAGAAATGTCATTGTGCCCATTTCTTTTCCCTGTCTTCCCTCTGTAGGAAAAACATTGCAAGAAGAGCAGATTGAAAGGGTGATGCGGCATAAGCTTTAGTGCAGGCTTACTGAAGACAGAGTCTCTGCAGAGTGTTCTCCAAACAGGGTGGTGTCACATGACAGCCCCTCTCCCTACACTCGATGCCTGCCAATAGGGCTTTTTTATAGAGAGAAGTAACACAAACATATAATTGGAGCCAAAATGAATTTTAAATGTCTGCAATTTCCCCTGAAAGATATAGTCAATAAAAGAAAAAGATAGCGGGTGTGAAAAGAAGGAGAAGAATTTATTGTGCTAAGGAAATTACTTTTCTTTTTGTTAAAGCCATGAAAATGCTAAATTGTCTCTGGCAGTCGTCCTGCCTTTAATTTGTATATTCAACTCTAACAGTCCTAGCTGAGGGTATCTTACAGGCAAGCCACAAAACCTCTGAGAAACACTATAAGGTAGGATTTCAAATATTATCCAAAGTCTCATAAAGTTCCCAACAGTAAGAGAAATGTTATAGAAAAATTTTTGTTTCAAAAAACGAAGCTCTGTGTTCCTACCTTTGCAAAAAAAGTGGACAGAAATACAAGGGGGCTTCAAAAGGTACAGAAAGATTCACATTATATTTTAATTCTTATTCTTTCTTTCACAATTATACAGTGGTTCATTTCTTCACACACTGTTGATTTCATTTGTTTAATGAAAAAAAATGCAGTTGCTTTGGAGCAGCCTTTATCTAGTCAAAAGTATGTAAAGTTTCCTTACTGGAAAAATAATAATTAAAATTGCTGATGAACTGGCTGACAAATGCTTAATTTGCATTCTGGAACAGACAGGTTTCTTTTTTGTACATAACAATTCGATTTGAAGTATAAATAAAAGCATTTATGGTTTTAATTTAGTAAAATGTTTACTAATAGCTTGAAGCATACATTATTATAGAGTGCACAACATGTATGTGTCTATCTGTGATAGTGTCAGTGAAAATAAGAGAAATTTGGGATCCATTTGGCCAAGCAGATTATTGTGTGGTTTGTAGACTGATTCATAGACTCAAAAGTAGATGCAGGTCATTAGGGGCAATCCTATAGTCCCAGACTGTTAAGAAGATACTGCCATTAATTTCTGGATGGACAGCACCTAATCTCATACAGAGAGTTCTTTAAATCAGTAAGTACTTTGTTCTAAAAGTGAATTGGTTGAAGTACATTTCCCTTGCGCTCAGCGCCTCTTATGTTTCCTTTTAGAAAGCCCCCTTGCCTTCTGTGCCGCACAACCTTTACCCTAAGTACAGCTTCAGCAGCACTAACCCATTTGCTGACTCCCTCCAGTTCAACGCCTACAAGGTTGGATGATGCCTATTGTCTTGCCATTACCTTGTGCGAATGTTTTGTTCTCTGTGACTGATGTGCTTGTGTCCAACTTCCCTGTTTAGCACCTTTGGGCAGGAAAAACAGCAACTGGGTCTTTGGAGTGAGCATGAAAATCCTTTCTTAAGCACATTTTCTTGCCAAAGAGTATTTATTTTTATAGCTAAAATTAAATAGTCTTTGTTTTCCTGAATTTTGGTATGATATAATTTTTTGGTACTTAAATTTGTGTTAGTTGCCTAATGGATGAACCACTTTCTGACATAGTTTCTTTAGAACCCTGTGTTGGTTTAAATCCTTTTCAGACTGCTACATGGTGGTCATAAAAGCTCTTCCATGACTTGATCATTCTTCCAATCATCTTGTATGTCTATTTGCAGACATCTCCTAAATATTCATAAAGCATGTCCATGCAAATGCCTGAATCGGGAAACAACTGTTTTAATGCTCAGAAAACTGTATTTGCATAGTCTCATATCCTGATGAAATTATAAAACAAAAATTGAAACAAAAATTTATAAGAACTTATAAAACCACAATTGAGAAAAAAAAAACTATAAGAACATGTATACCATTATTTGATCGTGAAAAGGAAAAAAGCTGTCAACAATTCCCTTCAGGAAACATTTTATGAATATTCATTGGATTTTCATGTTGTGGTCAGGATAACCAATGATGCTGTATCTGACAGAATGTATTTTCTATTACTGTAGGAATTACAGAGTTCAAGTAGAGTTTTCTTCCATTGTTCCCCAACTAACCCCTTTGCTCCCACACCATTTAAGGTTTGTCTCAGTGTGAAATTTCCATAAGCGAGTGTGTTACAGAGTGCTGTATGTGTATGTTGTGTTTGCTAAGTACATGGTTGGCATGGAGTGATTTCAAGTGCACTTTGCATTTTTACCGGTGAAGATTAAATAGTCTTTGTTATAAAGCTGTGTTATAACTAGTACATTTTTGGATGTATTAGTAATATGCCAGCTACATACATAATCTTTGTGAGAATGAGGATAACAGAAGGTAGTAAAGCAGAAGACCTAGTTGCCCTGGTTAAGGTACCACTAAATTTTATTCACAGTAGAAAAAATGTTGTGCCTAAGATCCTGAGGGGCTCTTCTGATAGGCAGATTTTGTTTGTTTCTAATGATAATAACAGCTTAGAAAAACTATACAGCAAGATCCTTAGAATGTGCATCTATCAATTATGGGAAGCTTAAATTGGATTTTGTTCCACTTTTTAAAAAGGAGATATACTTGTTAACAGTTTCCATTGTTACAGAGATGTGAATGTTTAGCCAGAGAAATTTTGAAGTATCTATCCTCCTTCCCCTTTGTATGATCAGTGAACTTTGATTAGATCAACTGTGTTTTTATATGCTTTTTATTTTATTTGCATATTATTAATTGGAAAGATTTATCACACAGTGTTTTGGAAAATAACAAAGGTTCCATTTGCAATAGTAACATTTTCTGTTTGGGCAGTGGTGTGTCAACTATTTTAACAGAACATCCTATTTTAGTCTGTATTGCCCTAAAGTGACTGTCAACCAGCTCTCTGCTTTACTAGAGAATTGACTGCTTTCTGAATCACTCAAAGGAAGATCACATTCAATGTCAAATCAGGTTTAAATGTTAGGTGTATTTTGGGTATTCTGATTCTTGGCACCAATGCATGCTTCTGAAGTATGTGTACATGCCAGTCATTTAGTGAGTTCTTACAATAAGTAGGTTTTTTAAAAGTCATTTTTAAAAGATATACTCATATGAAATAACACATTACGCAAGAGAAATATTTAAGCAAAATTAAGTAAAATGAAGATAGGGGCCGGTGCCACAGCTCACTAGGCTAATCCTCTACCTGCGGTGCTGGCACCCTGGGTTCTAGTCCCACTTGGGGTGCCAATTCTGTCCCAGTTGCTCCTCTTCTAGTCCAGCTCTCTGCTGGGGCCCGGGAGTGCAGTGGAGGATGGCCCTAGTGTTTGGGACCCGCACCCGCATGGGAGACCAGGAGGAAGCACCTGGCTCGTAGCTTCGGATCGGTGCAGCGTGCTGGCCGTAGTGGCCATTTGTGGGGTGAACCAACAGAAGGAAGACCTTTCTCTCTGTCTCTCTCTCTCACTAACTGCCTGTCAAAAAAAAAAAAAATGAAGATAGGAAAAATACAGGTTTAAGGCATCAGGAACAGCTTTATACCAAAGTTAGAGCTTTAGCCAGGTATCCCTGCAAAAGTTAGGTAATTATACTAGAGAGTGGAAGAGACAATGAGGTATAATGGAAAGCATGTTGGATTAAGAATTAAACAAAAAGATGTCCAGGTCCAGTGGTTTTGAACTAAATCTTTCGCTTCTTGTGGCTTCAGGTTGGAAAGATGGATTCATCTGCCAAATCAATAAAATGACCTCAGTGACTTAAAGTCCTTTCAAACTCTTATCATACTGTTTTAAGGATCTATAATATAGGAATTTCATGAAACTTTTATTAAAAATAACAGGACCTACGGTGCTAAGTGATAGCAAGTGCTCATTGGTTTTGTGTGAGGTGTTCCCCTGTGTTTTCTCACTGGCATGCCACCTTGGCAAGTGACAAATGGTGGTGTTCTTTAAGACCATGCCCCTTTGGCTCTGTGGTGTGCTCTGTGCTAACAAATGGGCTGCCCTGGTAGATGAGCCTGCATGTGTCCCACCCCTTTCATGGGTTTCCTGAGAGGATTCAGGTAGCAATAAAGAATTCTTTACGTGGAGTCTCATTAACAAGACTTCCAAAAGTTTGCCCAGACCTTTGCATTTTAATGATAACTTTTAAATTGAATTTTTTTCCAAAAGTGCAAGTTTGTACAGTTCTCTAGCTTCAACCACCTAAGATTCAAATGGACAAATTCATTGGCTTAAAATGGCAAACAGCAGTTGAATGATTTGTGCTCTGATACTATTTTGTTGACCCTATTTTCACTTTACCTGAATCCTGTCTAATATTCCATATACTCCCATAATAGAGCTTTTCCATTCTTTGTTAGGTGTTTTAAAGCCAGTTCTTGTTGTGGACATTGTGCTTGCATTTCTTTTCCTTAAAGTTTTCTTGCTGAGTTGCACATACCCACTGCATTCTTCTTGTCCCCACAGGCACCCAGTCAGTCAGAGGCAGAGGAAGAGAAGGCTCCTCTGTGTGATGTGCCCGCACCCACTCCTTCAGGATTGGCAGAAATGGGCAGTGATCTCACACAGTCTGCAAGTAAAACCTCAGAAGATGCGGATAAAGAGGATGAGTTTGGGTACAGCTGGAGTAAGTTGTCTTTCTGTGATACACTTAATTATGAGAGGTATTAAGATAGCTTTGGGTTTCTCCAGGCTAATGCCCTGCATGATTAAGTATGCTTCAGCTTCACTAATGTATACTGTGATCCTGCATGGAAAAAGAATGTTTTTGTTTTTCTTGAATACAGCATGGATTCCTGAGGCATGAAATCATGCCACTCCTTTCCTTTGAATGTGCATTCCTGATAAAGCTGCTTGCCTTTTGTATGAGAATTAAGGAGGACAGGCCTGCTCTCAGAAGTTAATACTGGATCAGCCACTCTGTGGTCCTGAACAAGTTATCACCCCTTTCTAGGCCTCCTATTCTCCTTTGTGAAATTTGATGAGTTCTTGATATTGCACCTGGAACTTCCAGCATTTTCTGTACTAGGATGGTAACATAGTATAATTGTTGAGATCAAAATGTGGGGCATTTGGTAAGTTATTTAACTGCCTCTAATTTTTGGCCCAGTGGTTACCTTTCTTTTTTCTTCCGTTAGGTTGTTAACATGAAATTTGATAATACTTGAGGAATGTTCTTCTTAATGCCTGGTGCATAGGGATCATTGAAAGGCAACTGTTACTAGAGGAATGGGCTGTCTCTGTTTTCCAAAGGAATGACCCATTAGGCAGGGAAATATTTTTTTAAAAATTTAGTCAAAAGTTAGAAATGTATTATTGTTTTAAGATGTCTCACTTAAAAGGCTGATTGTTTCCTTTAAGAAAGCTATTGTGCATGCTTTTACAAAGTATAAAGTTATACTGCTGGATTCTCTAAGGAGTCAGTGATGATAGTTTATAAAATCAATGCAGTTAAGCTAAAGCAATCTTAAACAACAAAAGCAAAACCAGAGGCACCACAATACCAAATTTCAAGACATACTACAGGGAAGTTATAATTAAAACAGCCTGGTATTGGTACAAAAATAGATGGATAGACCAATGGAACAGAGTAGAAACCCCAGAAATCAATCCAAACATCTGCAACAAACCTATATTTGACCAAGGAGCTAAAACAAACCCCTGGAACAGAGACAGTCTCTTCAACAAATGGTGCTGGAAAAAGTAGATTTTCACATGCAGAAGTATGAAGCAAGACCCCTACCTATGCCTTACATAAAAATCTACTCAACATGGATTAAAGATCTAAGTCTATGACCCGGAACCATCAAGTTAATTGAGAACATTGGGGAAACCCTGTAAGACATTGACACAAGCAAAGAATTACTGAAAAAGACCCCAGAGGCACAGGCAGTCAAAGCCAAAATTGACAAATGGGATTATTTCAAATTGAGAAGCTTCTATATGGCAAAAGAAACAATCAGGAAAGTGAAGAGGCAACCGACAGAATGGGAGAAATTATTTGCAAACTATGCAACTGATAAAGGATTAATAAGCAGAATCTACAAAGAGATCAAGAAACTCCACAACAACAAAACAACAACCCGGTTAAGAGACGGTCAAAAGAATTAACAGACACTTTTCAGAAGAAGAAATCCAAAAGGCCAACAGACATATGAAAAAATGTCCAGAATCACTAGCCATCAGGGAAATGCAGATCAAAACCACAATGAGATTTCACCTTACCCCAGTTATATTGGCTCTCAAACAGAAATCAACAAACAAAAAATGCCAGAGAGGATGTGGGGAAAGGGTACCCTAATCCACTATTGGTGGGAATGTAAACTGGAAAAGCTACTATGGAAGACAGTATAGCGATACATCAAAAATCTTAATATAGACCTGCCATATGACCCAGCCATCCCACTCCTTGGAATTTGCCCAAGGGAAATGAAATTGGTAAACAAAAGAGCTATCTTAACCTCCATGATTATTGCAGCTCAATTCACAATAGCTAAGACATGGAATCAACCTAAATGGCCATCAACCAAAGGCTGGATAAAGAAATTATGGAATATGTACACTATGGAAGACTACACAGCAGTACAAAATATTAAATCTGGTTATTTGCAACAAAATGGATCAATCTGGAAAACTTCATACTTAGTGAAATAAGTCAGTCCCAAAGGGACAAATACTATATTTTCTTCCTGATCTGTGAGAACTAATAACATACATAATATGAAAGCTGTAGAAGTGAAATTGACACTTTGAGAAACAATGACTTGAGCAGCCCTCATCCTGACTGTTGAGAACAGTTTTATATTTTTATTTCTTTTTTTCTTTTCTCTTCTTTATACTATATGTTGAATTCTTTACTTAACATAGTTAATAATATGTATATAAAGTCAATTGAAAATAGAACCCAATAAAAAAATAGGAGGGTGGATAAGAGAGGGAGGAGGAAGTTTGTAACTATAAAGCTGTGTAGTTCTGTATACAGTCCTACAGATTTACTTCTAAGAGTACAATTTAAAAACTTGTCATGGGACTCCAAATCCCATTAAAATTGGTGTTAAAAATGCCATCTTTATTGTTAAAGTGATCACATTAAGGGTTAAAGTGAACATATAGATAGGATTAAGTGTTAAAGAGATCATATAAATAGCATCAAGTGCCTGGTAATAATAATAATAGAATTAAAAAGGAGGGAATGTCCAACATGGGAAGCAGTCCCCACAGCAGATGCATAGAATGACAATCACTTTAAGTAAGTGACCTCAGAATCAGCCCTTAAAGCATTCATATATGGCTGAAAAGCCCATGAGAGCATTTCAGGCATGGAAAGCCAAGATATTGTGGCAAAAGATATCCTACATGAAGGATCTCCGTGAATGAGACTCCATTGGAAAGAAGGGGCCATCAAAGAATGATGCACTTTTCTCTGAAGGGAGGAGAGAACTTTCACTTTGCTATGGCCTTGTCCAAATACTGATAGAGTTTGTAGTCACAAAAGGCTTCCATAGCCCTGGCAGCTCATGGCAACAGCCTCAGGTGATCACTGACATCATAAATAAGAGTGTTAATTGTTAAATTAACAACATAATTCACTGTGCGCTTACTCCCCATGTAGGACCTCGGTTCTTAATGAGTTGTACTATGAGAATTAACTGCAAAACTTGTTCTCAAGCTGTACTTTATATGTTGCATGTATGTGTGGGTGCAAACTGTTGAAATCTTTATTTAGTATAGATTTGGTCAATGGGATAGGAGAGGGAGTAGGGGATGGGATGGGAGTGGGGATGGGAGGGTGGTTATGGAGGGAAGAACCACTATATTCCTACAGTTGTACCTATTAAATTTGCATTAATTAAATAAAAGATTTTACAAAAAAAATCAATGTAGAGTGTGTGACATTAACCATGTAGTTAACATTTTCTAGGCAATTAAAACTGTAACGTTCACAGTTTTTCTCAGTTTATTATCAAGAGTATTAAAGGATATTGTTAATCCAGTGAAGGTGACCAGAATGTACTCTGGAAAATATGAATCAGAATATTTGAGATGATTAACAAGCCACCACAGAGCTTAATGGCTTATACCAACAATTTATTATTAACCTTTCAAAGTGTGGTTTAGCTGGCTGAGCTTGACTGGATGTCCAAGGTGGCTCGCTCACATGGCTGGCAGTTAATGCTGGAGCTGTGTACTAAAGCATTACCATTGGTCTCAGCCTCTAAGATCAAAGGGAATGAATAATAGACAATACCTCTTGAAGATATGGTGTAGGAGAAATTTTCTCATCTAGCTAGGATATATTTCAAAGCTGGAATGTGTCCATCAATTTGTCCTGGGCAATATGAAAACCCATTCTCTTCATTCTGGAGATATATAGCCAGCAGCTGTCTACCATGATGTTATACTATACAATGTAGACTTTCATTTGAGAGGAAAGCTCCCACCGACACATGAACAGAAATATGCTGGCTACCTTAGTTCTGTCCTGCTCTCCAAATGATAAATTAAATACCTAGTTTAATCATAGATAGACTTTTGAGAGTTTATAAATGTGAGTCACTTTTCCTAGGTCTGAACAACTCAAGATAAACTAATTAATCAGATGCTGTGTTTTTTGTACCCTGCAATCAAAGAAATCCCTCAAAATGTGGGTCTTTTAGGAAATCATTCCTGATATTTGTTAATATTTTATTTTATTTTCCTGTTTTGGTACAAATAGTGCCCTTTGAAACAAAATCAAATAGCCTTCCATCATAAAGCCTTTGACTGTGATTTAACTCTAAATATGTGCTTTTTGTTATTGTTGTTGCATGTAGAAAATATCAGAGAGCGTTACGGAACACTAACAGGAGAGCTCCATGTGATTGAACTGGAGAAAGGTCGTAGCGGTTTGGGTCTCAGTCTTGCTGGAAACAAAGACCGATCCAGAATGAGTGTCTTTATCGTGGGGATTGATCCAAACGGAGCAGCAGGGAAAGATGGTAGATTGCAGATTGCCGATGAGCTTCTAGAGGTAAGTTTTTATGGAACCTTTGAGTTTACATTTATTGTAGCAGCTGCAATGGAATCATCAGTTTCCAATCACTGAAACCTCATAAAGGGAGGTCTTCAAAAAGTTAATGGAAAAGTGCACATTTTAATAAAAACTATGAAAACAATTTCAAATTTTTGTGCTAATATAAACATCTTGTAGTTCTGTGTACTTTTTGAAGTACCCTCACATGGTGATTGCAAAAACATTTACTTGCCTAACAAAATAGATGTATTGCAGCAAATTCAACTCTAAACCCAAATCTCTGCTAAATAGTCTATGTTTCCATTAACTTCCATTAAAAGGTCATGACTATGTAACACCAGAAACAATTTTTGCCCCAAGACAGTAATAAAGATCACACTTCCAAAACATTTTCTTTGTGTGCTGCATTTTTATTAGGAGTTTTTGAAGAGCCAAATGTCCAGTCATTCCCCAATAATGAGGCTGACCCACTAGACATTCTGGAAGTTGAATCCCTAATGGGAGAAGTGATGAGAGCGCAGTGGATTGGGGTCAAGCTTAAGACTAAATAACAAAAGCAGTAATTCAGCCTGCCAAACAAAATAAATATGTGGACCATACCTTATACTATTTATAATGTTTTTTGCTTGAGTTGTTTGTGCTTGCCTCCTGTAGGCTGGGATCCAGGAATCTTCATATTCTTCCATTTTGGCTAGGGAGCCTCCAGTAATGACTCAAAGAGCAAATCTTACCAAGCATCACTTCTCCCAACAGCCTATTCCTAAGACATGAGTTTTGAGACTGGTTGGGAGAAAAAATGACTATGAGAGTAGGGGAGTTTCCAGGATGTTCTTTTCAGATCATAGCCCCTGGTTTGTACAAAGTATGTGGAAGCCTATTGCCTGCTAGGAAACTTGAGTCTCTTCTACAGTTAGTACAAATGCCACCTCTGAGCCACCAGTGCATAGATATCAAACTTTATGCAAATTCTTTTAATCTTGGCTTTAAATATCTTTCTTTCATTCACCATCAAAGCTCAGGTTCATGTCACAGGGAGGAAAATACTTACATTTTAAAGGAAGATAAAGGATGTTTTTCATTAGTTAGATAGGATACTACCAATTTTGAAATGAAAATTTCAGGATTAATTAATGATATTTATTTCTCACAGATCAATGGTCAAATTTTATATGGAAGAAGTCATCAGAATGCTTCATCAATCATTAAATGTGCCCCTTCTAAAGTAAAAATAATTTTTATCAGGTAAGCATTTTATTTTGCTGATTTACCAAATCATTTCATTAGCACTTCAACTCCAGGTTCTTTTAAATGAAAAAGAAAACGTGTAAATATGTGTGTTAGGCCGGTGCCACGGCTCACTAGGCTAATCCTCCGCCTGCGGTGCCGGCACCCCAGATTCTAGTCCCAGTTGGGGTGCCAGATTCTGTCCCGGTTGCTCCTCTTCCAGTCCAGCTCTCTGCTGTGGCCCAGGAAGGCAGTGGAGTATGGCCCAAGTGCTTGGGCCCTGCACCCGCATGGGAGACCAGGAGGAAGCACCTGGCTCCTGGCTTTGGATCAGCGCAGTATGCCAGCCACAGCACGCCGGCTGCAGTACGCTGGCCGTAGTGGCCATTTGGGGAGTGAACCAATGGAAAAGGAAGACCTTTCTCTCTCTCTCTCTCTCTCTCTCTCTCTCACTGTCTAACTCTTCCTGTCAATAAAAAAAATGTGTGTTGTAGTTTTAAAGAATTGTATCTAATACTCTGATTCTTCAAGTAAGAGAATGAAAAATATCGTAATAGTATGATTGATGTTTTTTTCTTTTAGGAATAAAGATGCAGTGAGTCAGATGGCTGTATGTCCTGGACATACAGGAGAACCATTGGCTTCTACCTCAGAGAGCCTTCAAAGTAAGGAGGTATGGGTAACTTATCTTTGTATCTCTAGGAAGATTTGATCAATATACCCTTTATTCATTCAGTAAACAATACTAACACAATTATAGGGATATCAAACATAGATAAGGTACAACTTCAAACATTTGTAGCCCAGTGTAAGAAGACACTCAGCTAACTAAGCATACCATTTCCATGAATGGTGCAAAAGGAATAGTGATCGTAGGGAAGGAGTTGTCAGTCCTGCCTCTGGAGAGAGTGAGAGTAAGACTTTAGGGAGAAGGTCTCCCCATGAGATGTGTGGATCCTGGAAGATTGGAAGGTTGAAGCATCATAAGCAGAGGGTATGGAGTAAAGACTGGCATGGAGGTGTTCTGGCCAATTCAAGGGATCTCATTTCAGTGGAGGACATGGAATGGGGAGCTGGAGAGGAAAGGGTCACAGAGAAAGGAAACAAAGCCAGAGCATAGGAAACATTCTAACAAGCTGATATGTATATAATTTATGTAATATATAAAATATATATTTATATTTATTATATGATATTTATATGATATATATTATATAGGTATGTATATATTATACATACACACACATAAATACTGACTTTGCAGTAGTGTGGAGCCCCAAAATGAGAGAATTGTACTTTAAAAAAATTGTCAAACAATAATGTAGGCTGTAAGGAAGAGAAGCTAAACTACAGGAATTAAGAAAATTATTGGAATAATTAAGGATAAATATAACAAGGGCCTGAATTAAGCTAAGAAAAGTGGGAATGCTTCTGGCAGATGTCTAAAACCTAAATTGTCCCCATCTTAAATGTACCCACTGAGGACAAAATAGCGGTTGAGAATTTGTATTTGGGACAAGTATTTCTTTAGTAATCAACCTTGTGACAGACAGCTTTTTGGGGCTGGAGATAAGATGAATAAATAGACAGAATGTACATGTTTCCAGATACCTGAATTGGTAACATAATGGATGGCTACCTTTCACCAAAATAGAAAATACAGAAAAGTGAAGCAGAAATGTGCAAAAATTTGAGGCTTAAGAATGAAGTACCCACTGGAACACATGTTAGAAGTACCTATTAGAACATTTAGTCTAGAATTTGGGGATGAGTCTCCATACATGCATACTTGCATTTGGAAGCCAAGAGAGCTGAGGTGCTTGAGAAGTAAGGATGGAATCCTTTAATAGAAACACTAAGGAAGAAAGACAACAAAGAGAGGTCAGAGGAGAAGAAGAAAACTCAAGAGGGCTTGTTGCACTCAATGGAGCAAAGCTTGTTCAACAAGAAGGGCATATTCCACAAACTTACATGCTTCCAAGAGTCCAGTAAGAAGGTAAAGAATTTTTTTAAGATTCAGCAGTTCAGGCCGGCACCGCGGCTCACTAGGCTAATCCTCCGCCTTGCGGCGCCGGCGCACCAGGTTCTAGTCCCAGTCGGGGCACTGGATTCTGTCCCGGGTGCTCCTCTTCCAGGCCAGCTCTCTGCTGTGGCCAGGGAGTGCAGTGGAGGATGGCCCAAGTGCTTGGGCCCTGCACCCTATGGGAGACCAGGATAAGTACCTGGCTCCTGCCATCGGATCAGCGCGATGCGCCGGCCGCAGCGCGCTGGCCGCGGTGGCCATTGGAGGGTGAACCAATGGCAAAGGAAGACCTTTCTCTCTGTCTCTCTCTCTCACTGTCCACTCTGCCTGTCAAAAAAAAAAAAAAAGATTCAGCAATTCAGAGATTCAGAGATTATTAGTGATTTTGAGATGGCGAGTGATAGATCAGAAATTAAGGAGGGAGAGAGTGTGGTGGCTAGAGCGATGTGGGAATTGAAGACGGTTCTTTCCATTCTATTTTTTTAATTGAAAAATCGTTGAATACACATATAAGATAAATAAAAGGAAATAATAGATAGTGAAAAGCTTAAAATCAGAAGAATCATGGTGACTGTCCTTGGGAGAAGGTATAGGAACAGAAATAGTCTCCCCTAAATGAATATAAACCTAGGGCTTATATTTACATAAGACAGATATACAAATCATCATCTCATTCCAATGAATTGAGTCAGGTGGTTATTCAAGATGGCCAAATCATAAAAGAAAATTTTATTTTCTTATAAATTTTACTAAGTATACCCCCTAAGAAAATGAAGTATTATAATGATCTTCAGGTAAAACATTCAATACTCTTTATTTTTAATTAGATTATTATTTATTTATTTGAAAGAGTTACACAGAGAGAGAGAGAGAGAGGCAGAGACAGAAAAATCTTCCATCTGCTGATTCACGTCCCAGATGGCCACAACGGCCAGAGCTGGGCCGTTCCGAAGCCAGGAGACAGGAGCTTCTTCCATCTCGCTTGTGAGTGCAGGGGCCCAAGAACTTGAGCCATCCTCCACTGCTTTCCCAGAAGCATTATCAGGGAACTGGATCAGAAGTGGAGCAGCCGGGGCTTGAACCAATGCACTTATGGGGTTCCAGCACCACAGTCCATAGCTTTACTGGCTACCCTACAGCACTGGCATTCAATACTTTCTAAATTCACTTGATAACTAACACAGTAAAGAGGAGTGCATGATGCCTCTAATCACACTGTTTATTTCTGTGAGTTTCACTCTTTGGTAGCTGGGTTGCTGTGAGATTTTGTTTTAGAGTAAATCAGATCCCCTTGGCCTCATGTACCCTAAAATAATTCCTCTCCAATCATATCTCATAGGGATTTTGAAGAACACGTTATGATTATAAATGCCATAAATAGCATAAATAAAATGTATGAAATAATTTTGACTAAGTGGCTTGTATATTTAAAAAATGAAAAATCCAACACTCATCGCCTTTTTTGCCATTTCTTTTCATCTGTCAGATGGAGTCTGGTGTTACTATGTCTGAGGTAGCTGTGGGCCTCAGTTCATTTAAAAATGTGCAACATCTGGAGCTTCCCAAGGTAAATCTGCTTTAAATTGGAATGATGTGATGTGAGTACCTTCTCACGAGGGTCTCAGCTCACTGGTTCTCAGAAGTGGTCTCCGTACCAGCAGCCTCAGCACCACCTGGCATCATGTTAGAATGCAGCTGCAGAGCCCACCCAGCCCTGCCTGCTGCAGTAGAAGCTCTGGGGTTGGGCCCAGAGGTACGTGTTTTAATGAACCTTCCTAGTGAGGCTAATACACTCTAAAGTTTGGAACCCACTGTGCTGACTGATACTTTATCAGGGACCAGCTTTACCTTCCTTTGTAGTTGTTCCAAAGTATGAAATTCAGCCATCTCTCCTTTATTCTTTTACCACGTTCCTGCTATGGAGGAAATATGAATAAAGCAATATGAGTTATAACCTTTGTCCTTCATAAAACTGACACTCAAATAGCTAGAAGTTCTACTGTCCTTTGAAAAGACCTGAGCTTTCAGTTCAAATGACTACTGTAAAGAAGTGGTTTGCTGAACACATTTAGGTTTACCAATGCTTTCAGGTGCTGCAGGCTCAGCCTGGGAAGCAGGTAAACAGTACATGAATAAGAAAATAAGCAGTGAAATGTTTTGGAAGGTGAAGAAGAAAGAGGAGGTATGGTGGAGGAGTAGGGGGTGATTGACAGGACATACTGCAGACAGAAAGAAGTGGAGCAGTTCGTATGCCCCCTGCAGCTGAGGGGCAGTGCTGTGTGGTGCTTACACCCCAGCCTCCTGAGTCATTCCATCTGGGTTGCTTCATCAAGTGCACATCAAACATATTATGTGATCTTCCTTTGCCTCAGTTTGCCTCAGTCTGTAAAGTGAAGATGGTAACAGTACTTTTGTCTTCAGAAATTGTAAAATGAAGATAAAATGAGTTGCTTATAAAATGGTCAGCATAAATCCTGGCACACGGTCACACAGAGAGGAAAATCACCGTTACCGTGTTAACTATACTGATGTTTTCTTTCTATCTCTCCTTAACAACAGAAAATTCTATACAAAAATGGATTTCTCCAGTCTTGTTATATGTGCATGAAAGGCATGTTGTTATTGATTGTTTCTGCCATAAAGAGAAGGAAAAGAGCAGGAGTCATTAAAGCCTTTTGCCCTTTCTGTCAAGAAGTCCATAGTCTTCAATTTGAGAATTTCATTCTATTGCCATTTAAAGAGAGAATATCTTCCTCTTTCTTTTTCTGTTTCAAGGTTTGGCTTATTTTCCTCTTCTGTCCCGAAGTCAGAGTTTATAGAACTTAATGATGCAGCCAGCGCCGCGGCTCACTAGGCTAATCCTCCACCTAGCGGCGCCGGCACACCGGGTTCTAGTCCCAGTCGGGCCGCCGGATTCTGTCCAGGTTGCCCCTCTTCCAGGCCAGCTCTCTGCTGTGGCCAGGGAGTGCAGTGGAGGATGGCCCAGGTGCTTGGGCCCTGCACCCCATGGGAGACCAGGAAAAGCACCTGGCTCCTAGCTCCTGGCTCCTGCCGTCGGATCAACGTGGTGCGCCAGCTGCAGCGCGCCGGCCGCAGCGGCCATTGGAGGGTGAACCAATGGCAAAGGAAGACCTTTCTCTCTGTCTCTCTCTCTCACTGTCCACTCTGCCTGTCAAAAAAATAAAAAATAAAAAATAAAAAAATAAAAAAAAGAACTTAATGATGCAATAAATAAGTTGCTAATTCTGAAATGTTTAAATATATATTGAATTCATTACAATGAATGATTTTTATGCCAGTTTATGATTATCTTTAGAAAAGTCTAAATAAAATAATTTTTAACATATCATTCCATTGCATTTATCCTAATATACTCACCCAAGATTTGGTACATCCTAGAATATCATTATGCCCAGGAACACTTGGTGAAATAAATTTGTTAAATGAATGAAGAGCAGACTGCTATAGTGGCTGAGGACACAGCCTAAAAGGCAGAGCATCTGGGTGAAGGCCCTAGATTTGCCACTTGCAGACTGTGAGACTGTGACCTTGGACACTGCTGTTAATCTGTACAGTTTCCCCTCCTGCGAATGGGGATAATAAGAGTACTTGGCTTGTAGAGTTGTAGTAAGACTTGAATATACATTATGAGAATTAAATATGCACATGGATAGTGTCCAGTATGTTGTAAGCATTACCCACTCTGACTATTGATGTAATTAGTAGGAAAGAATAAGTTGGCAGATATCTGACTGTTCTTGATGCTGGTTTTCTCTGACACCTCCTCTAGCATCTGACTACTTGATAACAGTGTTAGATAAAAGCATTTTTAATCCCCTTCTCAGAACTTTTCAAGGACTTTCACTGGCCAACAGATCAGTTCAGCTTCCTCAGTCTGGTATTTAGCAAAGCTGGTGGATGGAAGTCTGCTGTGTTGATCAGAAGCTCTTCTGAGCAATCTCACTTCAGCTTCCCACTCCCGTTGGTCCTCGCTTTCTTCTGTAAATGGGGCCTCCTAGGTCAGAAGGGTACTGCTGGAGTTGGGAGCTAATGAACAGTTTCTTCCTTCTGCAGTGCCAAAGCTGGTGTCTGCCTTTAGCTGAAAACTGATGTGCACACTTCCCTTTCTGAATTAGCTGCTAAGAGGAATCAATGAATTGCACACAGAAAGCTTCTATGTCTCTGTAGATTTCAAGGAAATCTAAAGCTCAGGTAACTGGAATGTATTTATTGATGAAAGTCAAAGTGAGTAAGGGAAATACTCAAAATCTTTTAAAATCAGCTAGACAGAAGAAGCAATTAGCCATGATTTTAATGATGTGTTAAAAGAGAAAAGTACAACAAATCTAATTTTGCAGATCTTAATTGGCTTTTACTTGTTAATCTAGAATCTGGCAGCAGTCCGGACCAAAAATGGTTCAGAAAGCTCCGCCGCACCACATGTGCATGTTGTATTTATAGCCAGAGGAAAGGAAGTGACATACAGACAACGGAAGTGAGACAGAGAGATAGCTTAATTAGCTACAGCTTAGCGTTTGCCTTATTTGAACCTGGTTTGCACAGGTATTGCCTGTGTTTCATGGAGGCTTGGTGGCTGTTACAGGCTTGAGACTCTGCTGCTTGTTATAAGAGTAGGTTGCAGTCTGTTTATACATCAAATTAGGTAACAGTTCACTATGTTTGGAGTAGCCTTTAGTCCAGACTTAAAATATGTATGGAGGCAGTTTTAGTCTAAGCTTAATTCAATTTAACAGATTTTAAGTGCGGGCTTTGGAGTCGTTCAGCCTTCTCTCGGCTTTAGGCAACCATTCTCTGTGCCTTATTTTCCCCAATTACAACTTCTAATTGGATATACTATTGTAAGGATTAAATGAAAGAATTTATATAAAGCATTTACGCAGTGCAAGTTATTATAATTATTTTCATTTATATTTTTATCCATGAGGTTCTGAGTGCCTCATAGAATATGTCCCTGAAAATATTCCTTGAGGAAGCTATTGCTTTAAATGCCACTAAGTGATCCATCACACAAAGCCTGTATACTACCCCTAGTGTTAGCTGGCTCTGGGAGTAAAAATCATGTATAGAAGAGAGAATTAACCAGATTCTGATACTCCTGCCTCATCTGAAATCCTTTGTCATTTATACCACTGGATGTTTTTAAAAATTAGGACTATTTGAAAAATAATGTAATGGTAATGTCACATTTGTTTATTATGTTATGTACTTATGAGGTTGCTATTATTTCCCCACTGTTTTTTTAAAATTTATTGATTTTATATATTTAAAATTTAAATATATAATTTGAAAGGCAAAGAGACAGAGAAAGAGAGAGAGAGAGAGATCTTATATCTGCTGGGCACTACCCAAATACCTACAATAACCAGAAGCCTGGAACTCAATCCATAATTTCCTGTGTCAGTGGGAGAGACTCAAGTACTTGAATCAACATCTGCTACTCCCAGAGTATGCATTAGTAGGAAGCTGGAATTGGGAAGTGGAACTAAGTCCCAAATCCAAACACTTTGAAATAAGATGTAGGCGTCCTAGTGGCACCTTAACTGCTACACCAGTGCCTAGAGTTTCCCCCACTTTTAACTGTTCTCTGAATTCCAAATGGTAGAGCTGGAACTTAAATTCTGGCATTCTAACTCCAAGTCCCATTTCCCATTAGTAGTTGGGGCTGTGTGTGGATGAGTGTATGTGTAGTTAGCTTTGTAATATTCTGTGTGGTGTTGGGACATAATATTTATGCAGATATGTAGCTTACTTTTCCTGCTGGGAAAAATAAGTAAGCATGCTAATTCCATAAGGCTAAACCAAAGAAGAGGATTTATAGACTAGGTTATTACTGTTGAACTCTACCTACTTTCCTAAAACTACCAAGGGTCCATGAAAATGGGGAATTCATCCTTGGTTGCCTGTGTGTCACTTGGATTGTCTTTCTTTTTTCTTCCAGCTAATATAAAACACCCAGCTGAAATCTCACCTCTGTTTATTTTGAAATATTCCTTTGCTATTCTGGCCTATATAATGCTTACCACTAATGTTTTGTTGTCATTTAAGAATATATAGGCCAAGAATAGTTTTGGGTGAAATTTGTTTGTGTATCTTTTCTATAAGTATAAAATGTACACACACTGAGAGAGGAAATCCTTGCCCTTTTTTCTCATTATGTTATGCCGTGTTGTATGCATAGTTAAGACTAAGTATTTGGAAGGGAAGAGTGAGCATTGACATGCAGTGTATGCATAAAGTGGAAGATGTTGAGAGCAGAAGAGTCAGGGAGGGAGAATAATTTTTGGATTCTTTCAAAATTGGGAGTTTCAGTAACAGATCGTTTCTAATTCTAGTTTGAGTTCTTAGGAACTCTTTGACAAGTACATGATTTTTATTCTTTTGAATCCTTTATATTTTAAAATAGGAAAATCAAAGTATGAACAGAACGGAAAGTTCTCATCTATTCATATTTAATCTAAACTTCAGTGACTGAAATGCTAATTCAGTTTATTAGAAAATATTTTTTATTAAGGTTCATTTTTAGCATAGTTTTCCCCAGCAAAGGACCTACACATCAAAGCAGTTAACAGTCTTCTGGCCAGCACCGCGGCTCACTAGGCTAATCCTCCGCCTTGCGGCGCCAGCACACCGGGTTCTAGTCCCAGTCGGGGCACCGGATTCTGTCCCGGTTGCCCCTCTTCCAGGCCAGCTCTCTGCTGTGGCCAGGGAGTGCAGTGAGAGGATGGCCCAAGTGCTTGAGCCCTGCACCCTATGGGAGACCAGGATAAGTACTGGCTCCTGCCATTGGATCAGCGTGGTGCGCCGGCCGCAGCGCACCACCCATGGCGGCCATTGGAGGGTGAACCAACGGCAAAGGAAGACCTTTCTCTCTGTCTCTCTCTCTCACTGTCCACTCTGCCTGTCAAAAAATAAAAAATAAACAGTCTTCTATCATTGTCAGAGATCTGGTTCATATTCACCCAGTTTTATTTGGTAAAAATTTCAAATACAATTAAAAGTTATTCTTCTGAGTTGTAGAGACCTTGAACCTTCAAAAAAGTCCTCCTGATAATACTAGTTTGTTTAGATTCATCCCAGTTTCAATTCTTATTTATTCTAACTGTTTAATTATACAACTCTTCCTCCATAAATATACTTCCTAAATTAGTTTCACATTCCCTGTATGGTAGTATTTTAGTGACTAGCTTAGGACAGCATTTGTCAGATCTTTTACTGCAGAGGATTATTCATACTTTGGCAGAATTAGAGGAGAAAATTGAGCAATTAGATAAGAAATTACACACTCACACCTTATTTCCTTTTTTGTAAGTTGTCTTGCTTATCTGATATTAATAAACTGTGTGTGGGGCTGGGTGTGGATGGGTATATGTATAGTTACTTTTGTAGTATTCTGTGTGGCATTCAGACATAATATTTATGCAGATGTGTAACATTTTTCCCATCAAGAAACATAAGTAAAAATGCTAACTCCATCAGGCTTAACAAAAGAAGAGGATTTATAGACTCAGGTAGTTGGTCAGTAGGCTATAAGGACTGATCTTGTGACAGCCATCCACAGGATCAGACCGAAGGCTGACCTTTCCCATTGTTTCAGCAGAGCTACCACTTATAGCTGGGCTCTGTGTTAGTTCTCTTACCTACAGATGGAGGAGGAACATTCCTTTTTGTTGTTGTTGTTAAAGATTTATTCAAAGGCAGAGTGACAGAGTGAACAGGGGAGACACACAGAGTTCTTCCATCTGCTACTTCTCTCCTCAAATGGCTGCAAAAGCCAAGTTTAGGCCAAGCTAAGGCCAGGAGTCTAGAATCCCATTCTCGTCTCCCAGATAGGTGGCAGCAGCCCATGCACTAGGGCCATCTTCTGCCACCTTTGCAGGCATATTAGCAGGAAACTAGATCAGAAGCAGAGCAGTGAAGACTCAAACTGGCAATTCAGTATGGGATGCCAGTATCACAAGTGAGAGCTAACCCCTCTGTACCACAACACTTGCCCCAGAAGGGGCATTCTGAGCAAAAGTCCCATGATTCTTCTTAATTGTGTTGTTGGAGCTACTTATCTTTTGCTATATAACAAATTACCACAATTAAATTAAAGACTTATAACAACACGCATTTATTGTCTCACAATGTTTATGGGTCAGGCGTTTGGGATCAGTTTTGCTAGGTTTCTGGCTTAGAATCTCTTGTGCAATTGCCAGCAAACTGCCAGCATGAGTTCCAGGCATCTGAAGATTTGGCTGGGGCTGAACATCACTTCCAAGGTGATTAACTCAAATGGCTATTGTCAAGAGGCCTTATTTCCTCCTCCCAGGGCTGGTGGCATGTCTGTGTCTTCATGGCATGGCAGCTCACTTCCCATAGCGCAAATGAGTCAAGAGAAACAGCAAGGAGGAAGCCCTGGTGTCCTTTCTGATGCAGTTGCCGTTTTCAACACCATCACTCTGTTTTATACTGTATGTTAAATTTCAGTCATTAAGTCCAGCCCATACATTCAACTCTCCCCATATGGAAGGGAGAAATATCAAAGGATTTTGCCTCATATATTTAAACATCATAGGGAACTCAGAGAAGGAGAGAGGGGATAGAGGTGAATGGAAAAGTAGGTTGGGAAGAAGTTGTTAGGCATGCAAGGGGGAGCTGCCTCTATATTCTAATGAAGCTTACCAGTTTTTGCAAAGGGTTGAGATGAGAATGAATGTTAGATAAGCAATTGGCAAATGAGAAACAATTGGCAGTGAGAGAGAGAGACAGAGAGAAAGGTCTTCCTTTGCTGTTGGTTCATCCTCTAATGGCCACCGCGGGCGGTGCGCTGCGGCCAGCGCGCCGCGCTGATCCGATGGCAGGAGCCAGGTACTTATCCTGGTCTCCCATGGGGTGCAGAGCCCAAGTACTTGGGCCATCCTCCACTGCACTCCCTGGCCACAGCAGAGAGCTGGCCTGGAAGAGGGGCAACCGGGACAGAATCCGGCACCGCGAGTGGGACTAGAACCCGGTGTGCTGGCGCCGCTAGGCAGAGGATTAGCCTAGTGAGCCGCAGTGCCGGCTGGCAAATGCCTTTTGTACCAATAAAGTACTTCACTGATTGTTACATGGCAGGCCTTTTTTTTTTTTTTTTTGAGTTTAAAAAAGTTTAATTTATTTTTAAAGACAAGAAAACAGATTTAGAGGTAAGATGTTTCTACCAAGTTTCTACAGCTAGGTCGATGGTAAATTTGCTCACCCTAAAGGTACAGTTTTCTCTGTATTATACACATGACTGATTTCCTGGAAAGAGATTGGTGGTAGAGACAGATGAACAGTACTATCTGAAACTTATCAGGCATTAATAATCTACCCAGAAAAGACACAGTGTTGATAGTAATTAAAGCGAGAGTGAAACCTGGCCCTTTTTTTTTCCCTTTCTTTATTTGAAAGGCAGAGTTACAGAGAGAGAAGGACCCCAAATGGCTGCAGCGGCCAGGGCTGTTCCAAGCCCAAAGCCAGCAGCCAGGAAATTCATCGGGGTCTCCCATGTGGGTGCAGGGGTGCAAGGACTTGGGCCATCCTCTGCTGCTTTCCCAGGGAGCTGGACCGCAAGTAGAGCAGCCAGAATTTGAACTGGGCCCATATACAATGCCGGCATCACAGGCGGTGGCAACAACACCAGCTCTGAAAGCTTACTTTAATGTTGTAGGCATGACCATGAATGTGATGGCAAGCTTGGCTTTAGTGTGGGTATTTCGGGGAAGTCATGGCAAGATTTGCTGGTCCTTGTTTTACTTTGTGTGATTTTTCCTGGATGAAAACTATAATGAAAAAGGTTTCTAGCTCTGTCCAGAATTAAAATGTTCAAAACTCTATTTTAATTTAAGCATTTTTTTAATGTAAGCATTAAAGAAAGGTAAATGCCAGGATTATTGAACATTTGGTTTTGATAAATGAAAATGTGGAAAATATGGACCAAGTAGGTATAGCTCTCCAACCTTGGCAGGTTTTCAGTGCATATATTTGGGCTCCAAGATATTTTCAGTCTGCAACAAACCAAAATGCTGTACCCCAGAGAAGGAACACTGGGCATTCAGCCCCAAGAAAGGACAAAGCATGAAGTCTGTCTGCTGGAAGAAGAAACATGGCAGAAAAGAATGAAGTGGCCAGATCTGATTATTTTTTTGTAAGTTCAGGCCAGAAAGAGAGGAGTCAGGAGTGTCCTTTGCTAGGTTTTGAATGACTTGCTCAGTAAGCCAGTGACACAAAATTAAGTTTGCAAATGTTGAAAATTTTGATTATTGAATGTGTTTTTGCTATCTGTATATGTTGCTGCAGTTACCAAAGAACACTTGATTGTTTGATGGTTTGGGGGAAGAGATTAGTCCCAACAGAAAAAAAAAAAATGTGAAAGATTAAGGAGAGATTTCTTTTAAAAAGATTTATTTATTTATTTCAAAGGTAGAGTGATAGAAAGGAAGAAAGGGAGAAAGAGACACAGAAAGATTTTTGCATCCACTGGTTCACTCCCAAATGGCTGCAATAGCTGGGGCTGGGTCATTCTTGGAGCCAGGAGCCAGGAACTCCATCCTCATCTCCCACATGGGTGGCAGAGACTCAAGACTTGTAGGAAGTATAGCAGCCAAGACTCACACCAGAACTCCGATGTGCTCTGCAAGTGTGCAAAGCAGTGGTTTAATGCACTGTGGCACAAAGCATGCCCATTCTTTCTGTTTTTAATTTTTAATTTATTTTCATTGTATTAGAGAGAGAGAATCTCATTACCCAAACATCTGTAACATTCTGGCCTGGGCCAGACCTAAACCAGGAGCCTGGAACTCCATCCAAGCCTCCAACATGGGAGGCAGGGACTCAAATACTTGACCCATCTTCCGCTGCCTTACAGGGTACACATTAGCAAGAAGCTGAATTAGAAGCCAAGATGCCGGATTTAAACCAGACACTCACATATGGGATGTAGGTGTTCCAAGAAGCAAACTTTGATGCCCAGGCCCACCCGAAAGAAGACGTTTCTAATAGTGGACTTCAGAAGAGTGTTAATTGCTTTTCTAATCCTTGAGTAGAAGAAGATGTTCAGACATTATGGCTGCATACCTTTACATTTGGATAAAACTGATCTGTTTTGTCTTGAGTGTTCTTGTTTTTCCTTCTCTAGGATCAAGGAGGTTTGGGCATTGCTATCAGTGAAGAAGATACAATCAGTGGAGTCATCATAAAGAGTTTAACAGAGCATGGAGTGGCAGCCAAGGTGAGACTTTACCCCTCTCACTATTATGAAGTGGTGTAGAGGGAATCACTTCTGGAAAGTCACCAAATCTACCACATTTCCATTTAGGATGGACGACTCAAAGTTGGAGATCAGATCTTGGCTGTAGATGATGAAGTTGTTGTTGGCTGTCCAGTTGAAAAGGTACTTTTCCAAAACAGTAAATGGTACTGTAAAGCCATCCTTGGATGGCTCATGTGTGCATATGTTAGGAGCTGGGGATTACAAGGAATTTGGGCTAACTAGCTATTGACATTAGACATGTTTAAGGAAGAGAAGCAGTTATGAAGAAGTTCTTTTTTATGTTTTTTTCCATCAAGATGATGTGTCGTATGTTTTGTTTCCTAGTAAACTATTCAGTATTCACCAGGCATTTTTTATAAATGTCATTTCCATTTTTCTGTAGGAAAAAAACTGAATCTCATAAGCAGTGGCTAAGTGAGTTCAATATTACAGAGGAATATTTATTTATTGATGTTGACTCATAAATATCTATATTAATTTATAAAGTGATCATAAGACTCAGCCATTAAGTATGTTAATTCTGTTGGTATTAAGTAGCTTTTGCTCCTGAGTTCTCTTCTCCTCAAAAGTGATCATAATACTTGGAGTTTCATTTGATGCTTTTCATGTGTAATCACCAATAAAAGCTTTGTTTTCCCTGAGATGTAGAGTTCCTTTTATCCCTTGCAATGAGGAAAAACCAGGTCATGAACCATGTTTCCATGTCTACATTAGCCAGCAAGAAGCTTAGCATTCTTTTAAATAAATTTGTTGTTAATAAAAGCATTGGTATTATCTAAGCCATAAATTTGGTATTTTAACTTTCTCTTGGCTTTGATTTTTCTGTTGTGTAGTTTACCTATCCTGATTTAATATATGCATTTCTGTTTTTATTAGAAGTGTGTATATAGGCCTCAACAGATTCTATGTAGAATCAGGAAGTGAGTAAGATATTCTACATGTCTTCTAAAGTTGTGGGAATCCAATCTATAGGACAAGATTAACTAGAAATGGAAAAGATTGGAATTTCTATACTTGTATAAGGAAGAAGTTGTTTAGAACCAGACTTAGAGTGGAAATTAGCCATGACCTTAATCTATATCATGCATTCAAAAAAACTAGAGAGAAATTAATTGTTTCTTGGCCTCTCACATCTTAACAAGGGATTACTTTTCCTCTGTGTTGCCTCTCAACCTTAGACAGAATTAGATTCAAGTAATAATGGCAACTCATTTTTATAAGTCTGCTAATAAGCATTTTAATTTTGTTTCCCCACCATTCCAACACCCTACCAGTTTATTAGCCTTCTGAAGACAGCAAAGACGACAGTAAAACTTACCATTTGTGCCAAGAATCCAGACTCGCCGGCTACTTCAGTAGCTGGTGCAGCCAACGGAGGAAAAAGGAGCAGCTCTCAGTCTCCAGTGGTGCCACAGTCGAGCTCTCCAGAACCAGAGCCCATTCGAAGTAAGGACTGGGCTCACGAGAGTCCTGTGTGTCTGGCATACTCAGCACAGGGAGCCTGCTGAGGGTCCAGCTGCCTGCCAGTGGCTGATTGTTTGAAAGGTGTAACAAGGGAGCCCTGTGGTGGGAGGCTGGTAGCAAGAGAGGGGCTCCTAAAGAAAGAGCACTGGATTGTAAAGTAGACGTCAGGGCATCTTACATTAACCCACCGTGGGACCTCAGGAAATCCACCTGTTCACTCTGAGCCTCAACTTCTCTGTTCTCCAAGAAACTTTTGCTGAGAGTACCAGTGATTTCAGATATTGAACTAGCAAATTGGAAATATCATTTTGGAGATACTGTATATATATGTATACATACACATATACTGAGACAGTAACTTAATTTCCCTAAGTCTCAGTTTTCTTATCTGTAGAATGGATATACAGTGATCCTTTTTCACAGATAGGATCAATATTACCTGCCACCACAAGAAACTCCTGAAAATTATAGCTGTTGACACTGAGTATGTTGTAGCAGTTTGAGTTCTGTGGTTTGAATGCAGTAGTAGACCTTGTGAAAGTAGATAAAATGGATGTCGTGGACCATGAGATGATAATTTAGTCTATCATTAAAATGCCCGTCTAGTATATGGAGGTAAATTATTCCTATAAGTTACTTTTTGACAAAAATCACACTGGTTTCTTATAAAACAATAAATTTCAACCTCTGCACCATCAAAAAAACAAAATTGCTCAAACACGTTGCCATTTTCTGCAAGTGTGGGGAAAAATTGGGCCTACAAACTGAAACATTCAGTTCTTTTGACATGGTTTTAAGGAAACACTAATTTAAAACATTTGTAGTATAGTTAGACAAAAATGGCTTAAAGAGATATATCTCTGATGAAAGTAATCCTTTATTTAGAAGGACTGAATAATTGACTGAAGTGTTAAAAGATTTTATGAAAATATTCTCATTTTTCAATTTTACATTGATCCCTAAATAGCATTGTCTATAAAAATATGAAATGCTATGTGAAAATTTTACATAAAACGAAATATCTTACACCTGTTCTTACCATTTCAGGAACAAGAAAATGGTCTGTTTCTGATTTCCTAAAAAGAGAACATCTTGTCCAAAGCATACGTTATTCTACCAAGTATAGCCATCCAGACTTTCCCCAAACATGCTATTGTTGTATCATAAAACAGGTGATACGATAAGAAGACTGTCATACAACAGGATGTGAAATTATATTATTCTTATTTTCTCATAGTCTGTTCTTTTTTGAGCATCTATGCACCAGGATTTGTTTATAAAAAAGCAAGGGAAATCCAAGGGTAAAGATGTAAATAGTGAGTATTTCCTTAGACTTGATCATGTGAGAAGAGATGCTCTAGGATAAGGGGGAAAAAAGGAAAGCATAAAAAGCCCTGAAAAGCAGGCAGTGGGACCAAAATTATTGATGTGCTTTGTGTTTTGTTATCTCCCTTGAATGTGCTTCTGTGTGTCTGCCACATGTCTCAGATCTGAGTTGTACAAATCTTGATTTCATAACAAGTGTGTTTTGCTGCAGTGAAGTATAGAATGTCAGAGTGAAACTGGAGGTTCTGTTCAACTTTCTGTTCTCCTTCCTTTACACTCTATCTTATATAGCAATTTAAAAATACAGAATAGTATAGAAAATAAACAGGTGATTTTGTACCAAAAACCTTAACAATGATTTAATAATATTTCTTTCAAAATATATTTATTTGTTTTTATTTATCAGTAGACAGACAAATACAGACCTAGACAGAACACCAGAGGGCTCTTACCCACTGATTCACTCCCCAAATGCCAGTAACAGCCAGGACTGAACCAGGTCAAAGCCAGGAGCTGGGAATGTCATTTGGGCCTCCCACATGGGTAGCAAGAACCCAAGTATTTGAGCTATCACTGCTGCCTTCCAGAGTGAGCATTAGTAGGAAGCTGGAGTTGAGAATGGAGCAAGGATTCAAACCCCCAGGTACCTCCAGGTAGGATGCAGGTACCCCAGATAGCGTCTTACCCACTGCCTCAAACACCCTGCCTTAATATAGTTTAATATAACTAGAAGAGCTGAGTAAATTTGCAATCTCCTTTTTCACTAGTCTGAACCCCTTTTCCTACTCCATCCCCCAAAAGCAACCTGTGCAGTGAGTTTAGCCCATATACCTTTTAATCAACATTTATTTGTATTTCATTTCTCTTTTAACTCATTTAGGTACAAGCAGGTCATCAACACCAGCGATCTTTGCTTCTGATCCTGCCACCTGCCCCATTATCCCTGGCTGTGAAACAACAATTGAGATTTCCAAAGGGCGAACAGGACTGGGCCTGAGCATTGTGGGCGGGTCAGACACACTGCTGGTGAGTGCCCACCCAGAGGTGCTCACTAGCTGGGCAACCCTTCAGCCAGGCCTCAGATACCTAGACTGAGGGGATGCCTTTCTGTCTGTTTTGTTATATTAAATATAAAGGCTGAGGAAAAAAATGTATTGCTCATTATTATTTTTAATTTATAGAGCAAATCCTTAATGGGGGTACTGGGATTTTTACTTAATTAAGTCAATACTGACTCAGTAAGATTTTGTTATACTTGTGAGTGTGACGTTTAGATTTTGAAATGTTTCTGTCAGCTCACCAGTGCTTTTGGTTTGGATTTCCTTTTTAATGGAATCCACACCACATTGGTCATGTGTTGAGAGGAATCTGAACAATTGGATGCTTTGTAGACAAAATTTTGTAAATGTCAAAAGGTAATGTAGCTCTATTATATGTAGGCATAGATAATTTATATATTTAAAATGTTTTCTAAATATCCCTACTGTTAGAAAAAAAAATGTACAAACTTTTCTGAGCCATTTAGCAGAAAGTGAGTTGTCAGACATTTCCTTAAATGATGTGAGGTTACCGGCAGGTGGATCCTGTAAAGATCAGGCCTGCTGGCTGTCTATAAAAGTCCCAGGTGTTTGGACTCCATTTCAACTCTGTATTGCTAGGGAGAATGGAATAAAGCATGGGTTGTTGTGTTTGGCTCCCAGGGTGCCATTATCATCCATGAAGTATATGAAGAAGGAGCGGCATGCAAAGATGGAAGACTCTGGGCTGGAGACCAGATATTAGAGGTACAATGCACTTCCTTGTGACCTTCAGAAATCACAGCAAAAAGGCCACTGGTTCTTTGTTGTTTCCTTCTCCCTCTTTTCCCTTCCTTTATTTGCCCTGTTTAACTCTCCTAGTTTCTCACTCTCAAGATCCCGTTTTGGTGCAGGTGAATGGGATTGACCTAAGAAAGGCCACACATGATGAAGCCATCAATGTCCTGCGACAGACGCCCCAAAGAGTGCGCCTGACACTCTACAGAGACGAGGCCCCCTACAAGGAGGAGGACGTGTGTGATGCCCTCACCGTGGAGCTACAGAAGAAACCCGGCAAAGGCCTGGGACTAAGTATTGTTGGGAAAAGGTGTGCCTAAGGATGATGAACCCAGTGACCTTGTGGGAATGAGTGATTACATTCTTGTAAGGGACTGATAGTGGAATTGTTGGCAATGGCTAGTATCCTCTGCGTATCTGTCCTTAGCCCACACACAAGGGGATGTGAAAAAGACCTAAGTTTTGAATTTTTAAGTTAGTATATTGGGGGTTTTGAAGGTCCGCAACTAAAATCCATTTGGTATTTTTTGACTGCCTGTTGCATGCCAGGAAATACATTCGGTTCTGGGGAACTAAGACAAATGAGACATAATTCCTGACCTTGAAATTTCACAGTCTGCTGGACTAGAATTAAATATATTCTTGCAACAAACAAATGTGTTGATGGGAGACAGAGCACATTTTAGGGGAACCAGGGAGGCAAAGGAGAAAGGGACCAAGTGACTCTATTTAAGAGAAATAAAGGAAAACTTCCGAGAAGGGAGCTCCTAGGGCTGAGGCTAACAGTGATAAATGGCATTTGATGAACTAATGGGCCAGTTGAAGGATATTCTTTAGAGAAGGATCAGCATGAATAAGAACATGCATCAGCAAGGAACCCAAAGCAGGAAGCAAGGCATTGGGGTGATGGCAGATTCGTGACTGCACATAAATTCAATACCTAACTTATTTAAATATTTATGTATAAGTACATTTACAAGCTATAGAAGTCATTTTCTACCTGTGTGGTCCATAAAATTGGAATAGTAGTACCCACTTCTATTTGCAGTAAATAGTTGATAAAGAGTAAACATGCTTATTAAAGGTATTTTAAATGTATGAAATACATGACATAAGCTGGTATTTATCACAAAATATAAATCTAATAATGTTGCCCCAGTGTCATTCAAAACCATTAAACTTTCAAAGTTATAAAAGTAGAAGTGAAAATTGTGGTTATGAAAAGTTAGCTTGCCATTAAATAAGCGTTGCATTGGAGTTGGGGAAAAACAAAGCTGAAGTTAAAACCGTTTGCAGGAATGATACTGGAGTGTTTGTGTCAGACATTGTCAAAGGAGGAATTGCAGACGCAGATGGAAGACTGATGCAGGGAGACCAGATATTAATGGTGAATGGAGAAGATGTCCGTAATGCCACCCAGGAAGCTGTAGCTGCCTTGCTGAAGGTAAAAACCATGTGCCATAAATAATATCGTGTAAAAGTTTGGGAAAACAGAGAAGATATCATTGTGCTGTTGTAGCTAAATTACTACTGAGTTATGTTTATTTGAAAAATCATCTCGAATAAAATATATTTGTAATATATGTGTCATTGATGAATTTCTAAATAGTGAATTTGTGATTAGCTGTTTATTTTGTTGTTATATACTTAGTGGTAGTGAGAGTTATGAACTGAATGAATGTAATATTAGTAGGTCTGTTATCTTTAAGGTAAGTATTATGTGGATCTTTCCTTGAAAGAAAAGTATTCAGATCACGAGAAGCAAAAATATCAACCTCCATCCCCCCATATTTATTTCTGGATTTATTCTTATGACCTCTTGCTGTGTGAAGACTCCCATCCTTGCCATGGGTTCTGTGTGAAAGGCGGCTGTCAGTTGGCAAGAACTGTCAGTGGGGACATCTCAGTAGACAAGAAGGGTGTGCATGGTAACTCTGAAGTTGAATCTCTCTGACCTCTCCTGACCCAGCCCCTTACCTTCTGGGCAAACCAGGTTGGGCATCCTTATGTCTTCTCAGAGATGAAGAATATGACAAAGATTTTAGCCTTTTGACCCCTAGAAGGAAATATTTGGTCCAGATCCTATTCTGACTTAACACTACTAAGCTATTAAAGTTGACACTTAAAACTGGGGTTAGATGGCTCATCGTTACACCATGAATGTAACTTAATGCAGATTCACCTGGAAATACCTTCACAGGGAATTAGTCCAACAGTGATGAGTCTCCCATCCCTAGGTGTCATTCTGTTTACAAATTCACATTCCTGCGAAGAAAAATCTCCATGAAGAACCATTTTCTGATTAGAAAACCAGAATCAGACTTATTTTAAAAATAAATTTCAAAGTACAGAACAATCACTGAAAAACAGTGCTTAGCACTGTAGACACACTCTCTCTCATGGAGAGACACACTCTCTCTCACTCTCTCTCATAGTCTGATCTTGACTTTCAGAGGGGACTGGAATTTTCACAAAGCTGCTACCTGCAGTTCGCGTCCTGGCTGCTGCATTTCCAATCCAGCTCTCCTCTATGGCCTGGGAAAGCAGTAGAAGATGGCCCAAGTCCTTGGGCCCCTGCACCCACATGAGAAGACCCAGAAGAAGCTCCTGGCTCCTGGCTTTGGATCAGACCAGTTCTGGCAGTTGTGGCCATTTGGGGAGTGAACCAGTGCATGGAAGACTTCTTTCTCTCTCTCTCTCTGCCTCTGCCTCTCTGGAACACTGCCTTTCAAATGAATAAATAAATCTTAAAAAATAATAATAATTTTAAAGATGCAAGTGATTTGAAATGATGTTCAGGACAATTATATTAACATGAAAAAACATGTAATCAGTAAAAAATAAAAGTAATGTGTTTATGATGTAGACAACCATGTAAAATAACATTTTACAGTTTTTCATAATAATTATGAGAATTATTGGAATTATGATGTCTTTTTCCTCTTTTTTTTTAAAGAAGGGCTTACGAGGAATGACACTTTTGTATTATTTAGATTTATCTTATTTATTTGAAAGAGTTACAGGAGAGGTAGAGACAGAGAGAGTCTTCTATCCACTGGTTCACTCCCCAGATGGCTGCAACAGTTTGAGCTGAGCCGATCAGGAGCCAGGAGCTTCTTCTGGGCCTCCCACATGGGTACATGGGCCCAAGCACTTGGGCCACCCTGCTGCCTCCCCAGGTGCATTTGCAGGGAGATGGGTAGGAAGTGGAGCAGCCGGGACTCAAATGGCACTCATATGGAATGTGGACATCAAAGATGGTGGTTAAGCTACTGCACCACGATGTCCCATGAATTGCTTTTGTAATGGAAAAATTTTGTTCAAAAATTTTAAAACTAAAACTCTTGAAGTTTGAAAAAATACAGGTAGATAAGTTACATTAAATTAATAAAGCACACATTAAATAATTAGTGTATGGATTTGTTAACCTATGTAGATATGAAAACTTAAAATATAAAATAAGTTCAAAAAGAGTTGGATAAGTTCCAGGCCTTCCTAAAGCCCAAACCAATCAAACATACCAATTTATGGATGTTACAGTTAACCTTTCAAAGTTTGGTCCATGGCTGACATGTTCCATAGTAATGCACTCCTCAATACCCAGGAGAAGCACTATAATATCAGTGCTCTATATTTATGTTAATACTGCTTTACACTGGACACTGTCCTAAGCATTGCACATAGATTATTTAATTATACCAACAACCTAAAATATATACATTTTTAAAAAGTAGAGTAAAAGGCTTATGAAGGTTAGAGATGCATTCTGATCAGTAGCTAGTAAATGACTGAATCTAGATTTAAAACAGTGTGTCTTATGCCAGAAGCCCAGTATTTCAAACACTTCTTTGTGCCGCTTCCATATTTCACTACAGAACATTTCTTGCATGCCTGTACAGGGCTACAATGAAATTGTTTTGGGGGAAGAGAGAAAATAAGAGAGAGAGAGGATCTGAAGTACAGAGTCACCTGGACTCAAACCAGCCACTCTGTTAGCATGTCATGTTAGCATGTCAGGCAGAGGCTTGACCCACTCCTCCATTTCATCTCACCAGCAATATATAGATTTAAGTATTATATAATAGGTCTATTCAGATATGATGTGGACGTGAAAGTTTGCCCAATTATCTGAGAGCTTCTTATATTGAATACCGAAGAAGTAGTTGTGGTAGAGGTGGTTTTATTATTTCTGTTAGGATTTTTGATTCCTGAGTTATTTGGTTCTTTTGGCTTATCTCAATCAATATGTTTCATAAGGTAAGGGCTCACTTCTCAATTTCTCTTGGCCTTGGTAGAAATAGTCTGCCTATCAGTCATGAAATAATAGGCTTGATCCTGGAGATTGCTGTTGCTGCTTGTTGTTCATACTGTTTTTATGAGTTTTAATGCGTTTTAAAAAGCCATTTTTCCAGAAAGGATTGAAGGTGTCCATGACTATGGAAACTATACAAAATGGCGCATTTCAAAAATTCAGTCTTGAAGAATAAAACATATTCTTAAAGATGATTATAGCATTTTGTTTCCACATTTCCATAAAACAACCACTGTCCCAGTGTTCCTTAGGCACAGTCACCTTGGAAGTTGGAAGAATCAAAGCTGGCCCATTTCATTCAGAGAGGAGACCTTCACAAAGCAGCCAGGTGGGTAGGTGGTGATGTGGTCCACGTGCCAGAGGAATCCATGGCTAGCCCTTAACTGTGAGTCTGTGCAGGGTCATGCACTCAAGTCTAGCTCTCTGGCATGCAGCAGAGTGACTGGGATGTAGATTTGAGACAGGGAAGAGTGGAAGATGCAATCGGACAAGTAAGCCAGATGTAGCTGTTGAGTTAGTTTATGAATTATTTTAAGATACTTAATTTCAAGCATTCTTCTTTTGGATATGATTCTTTGTCCTTAATCTCAAATGTTAACCACTAATATATGTAAAGACTACCAAGATAGCATTTTTAAGTATTTTATAACAAACATCAGCCAGTATTCAAGTGAAAAAACTGTAGTTTCTCATCACCAAGAATAAATCAATGGTGTTAGAATATTTCAAGTTTCATCAGTCTGTTATTAAAAATCCCTTAATTTCTTCCTTAATTACTAACATTTGTTTCCTGTTGACTGACCCAGTTTATGTTTAAGTCCAAATCTTTGTACCACTATACTTGTTTAAAATTAGTTAGATTGCAATCAATTTCTTGTAGCCTTTTTAGCTTCAATGAATTTATGTCATTTGACAGGTTCTTCCTTAGAAAAAGAAAATCAATAGAAACTATGTTTAAATTGCCATGCAAATTATCAAATGCCACTGTTGCTTAACAGGTACTTCTCTGTGGATACACTAAAAGAATTGAATTCTGCTGGGAAAAAAGTGGTGTTTAGGGGGAATTATCCCTTTGAAAACTTCCTAACATAATTGCTATATTTGTAGGTAAGTGAAGGCAGCTTGTCCTCTTTCACTTTGCCAATTTCTGGAACAAGTACATCTGAGTCACTGGAAAGCAGCTCAAAGAAGAATGCATGTAAGATTGGCTTAATATTTTAAGCATAATTTGCTGGTTTGAATGTTGACTGTCAACTTTTTTTTTAAACCTTATTTTCCTCTGAGAACTCTTAGCACTACCCCCAACCAAAACATCTTATATCCTAATAGAGGTACAAAAATGTGTGTCGGCAAAAATTCTGAATACTGTGAAGCTGAACTTATGGCAGCTTTTCCCAAGTGAAATTTATAAGATACACTAAATATTAGACTCAGTATCATATACTTTTTTTCTTACTAAGCAGACTGCTGTATTCGACTTTACTTTTTTTCTCTGTTTAATGTAACACCAGTAAATCAGAGGATGTCACTAAATGAAGCCTTCATTTTTCCATGAAGAGTGCAAAAATTTTGAGAAAATGAATGTAGATCCTCCTGTGTTTTAATTACTTGAAATCATGATGCAGAGAGGTTTTTGGCTTGGTGCATTGGTTGAGAGTTGTTCAAAATGAAGAAACTAACCATATGGCAGTCTCTGTTTGCAATGTGACTAATATTCTAGAAATTTAGGCACTTAAGACCATGGATTTTTTTTTAATGCATCCATGATTTTATTCCTCTCAGCTGTGCACATGTGTCTCTATCCAAAGCACATTCTGTCCTTGACACATTCAAAGTGGATTATACAGTTGTATAATCAGTGCTTAAAATGAGAAGGGAAAAGAGGGATAGTATGTATGTTGTTCCAACTGAAGAAATGAAGAATTCCTATGTGAGTCAGATCTAATCACATGTACTATTAGTACCTTTGAGCTCTTCCTTTCAAAAAAATAGTAAATGAAGAAGACACTGTTTAGTCCCATTCAGCTCCTTGTGTTGACTAAATAGTCAATTAACAAAAAGTGCTCTGCTAACAATATTTTATATTTTTTCCTTTACAGTAGCATCTGAAATACAGGGATTAAGAACAGTTGAAATAAAAAAGGTAAACTTGGGGGACAGGAAACTATAAAAACTCTCAAAATTTCAGAGAATCTTTATGCAATTTTCCTGTTAACTGTATTACTGCCTTATAGGACCCATGTGAAAAAATAGATATAGGTAGTGTTTACAGTAGTTATACACAAAGCTGGCTTGACTAAATTTCCTAGTCATAGTACCTCATTTGAAAAGAAATTTGCTTATATATACTATATTATATTAGAATATATTATTATATATTTATATGGATTTCCAAAAATTGTCGTCAACCCAACCCATACAAAACAGTGTTGTACCTGACTTTCCCATACTCATATATGAGCCTTCTCTTTCAGTAGGTACTTCCCAGTTCTCAGATTCCACACAGGCATGCCCAGAGAGAAAATAAAAACAGCAATGATTTGTTGAGCCTCTGCTATGTGCTGAACCCCTTAGACACTTCCTGCCATGGTCCTGTCGTTTAAAATTCACTGCAGCCATCTGGATGAGCAGCACTGTTAAGTGCGTTGTGAAAACAAAGACCTAGGGATTTATTGAGCAGGATGGGCTTTGTGCAGGTCCCAGCATTTGTTAGGTCTGGGTTCTAGACTTCAAACCTCTCTGATTCCAGAAAGTGTGATCATCTCACTGCATGATTTTGCCTGCTTTCTACAATCGCACAACATGGTTTTCATTTAGCATGCCTTAATTCCTTTTACTTCCTGAATTGATGTTTGTCCCCCCACAAACCACACTAAGGACCCATGTCAAATAAAGTAGGGTGGTTTTCTTTAGCTTCATTTTCCACCCTCACAGAGTATCTGGGCTGCCTGTAGAATATTGTACCAGGGAATAAACAGTCAACTAAAAATATCACTTTGACTAACATTTTATCTCTGTTCTGTGACAGGGACCTACTGACTCTCTGGGAATCAGCATTGCTGGGGGAGTGGGCAGCCCTCTGGGTGATGTTCCTATATTTATTGCCATGATGCACCCAAATGGAGTAGCAGCTCAGACACAGAAACTCAGAGTAAGTTTCACCAAGAGCCATAGTAGCCCTACCAAATCTAGCCCAAGATTTTTTTTTTTTCATAAACCCTGTGAATCTGGCCGCCTGTTGCTAGGCAGTTTTAAATGTCTGTATCTGCTTTTAAATCAGTGACTTCAGCCCTAGGAAGACTTTCCTTAAGTAAAAGATAAAAAATATTAAAAGAAAGGAGAGAGTGATGCTGTTGAGTGCCAATTTGCAAGTAAATGACATGAGAAGAGCTATAGTTGTCTCTCCATGTATGGTTGAAGTTCTGTGGAACACATTAACAGAAACAGTATTTTCAGAACTTTAGTATGAAGTGAAACTTTTCCTATATATGTTTCATTGGTATAACTGGCAATTTAATTTTGTTAAACTGGGAAGTATTTTTTGCTTTGGTTATAGATTTTGCAGAATTTTAATGTAAATATGACTTACCATCTTGTAAAACCATGCAAAACTTGCTTCGGAGCACTTTGGTAAACTACCCAGCTCTAAAATCATGAGAATATTCTATGACAGCCACTCAGTCTCTCCCCGGTAACAACTCTGAGTGGCCTCATGCCACAAACAGGGTCTCCGAGCACAGCCACATCTTTAAATAGTATCTATATTGGGAATAGTTCAGTCTCCTTTGATATCTAAATTTATGCCTGGCACTTAAAAACTGATTGTACACATAGAACAAGGGTCAGCAAACCTTTCTCTAAGGACAGATAGTGAATATTTCAGGCTTTGTGGGACACAAGAGTCTCTGTTGCAATTACTCAACCCTGCCCTGTAAAAGCAGCCAAATAAGCGTGGCTATCTTCCAACCAGACTTTATTAACCAAAACAGGCCATGGGCCAGGTTTGGCCCAGGGGCTTTAATTTGCCAATTCCTGACTTAGAGTCACATCCAATGATTATAATAATGTCCAGAGAAACTCAAATTTCCAAATGATATCAATATTTTATTCTTTTACTAGAAAGTAATCTCTTACCCAGGAAGAACGAAGAGAAGGGAAGAGTGGTTTTTCTCCCTCTCCTTTCTCCTGCCCTTGGTGCTGTGGAACTCAGTCGCTGTGAGCAGATTCTTTGTGTGCTAGCAGCTGCTTGCCCTTTTTGGAATTAGTGCTTTCCTTGCTTGTGTTTCAGTGGCTGGTGGTGGTATGTATGTCATCTGCAAGGTGGACAAGGAAAAGACTGCTTGGGTCTCAGGAGTGCCGCTCTGTGACTGATGTAGCAGATGGTGCTCTCTCTCTCCGTTGCAGGTTGGGGATAGGATTGTGACGATCTGTGGCACATCCACGGAGGGGATGACTCACACCCAAGCAGTCAACTTACTGAAAAGTGCTTCTGGCTCCATTGAAATGCAGGTAAAAATTTTATCCCAAAGCCTGATCAGGTAGCTTGAGAACATGTGAGTGTTGATGTTAAAGCTTTAAAAGTGAGTAAATGTCCTGCTATTATTTAATATTTCCCTTGATTATGAGTGATCAAATTGAGAATTCTGAGAACATATGTATGAACCATTTCATAACTTTTTTTCCTGAAGCATTTATTGCTTCAGATATCTATGTAAAAAATAATACAGGGCCTCAGCAGTGAATGATGAATCATTACAATTTTAAGCAGTGTGAATAAGTGGGTTTATTCGAAAGATCTTTAAAAAATAGTTGCATGTGAGTCCATATTTTAATGGCATCAAAGAACTTTGTAGAACTGAGTTAGTAAGAATATTTTTACTGTCAGAACAGTTATGAGGCCTCTGGACATTGTAAAATTTCTTTCTCTTTGGTTATATTTTATCTTAACCGAAATGATTAAGTGAACAGTAAAATACACTTTTTCATCCAAATGCTTTTCTTAAAGGAAATTTGCTGCTGTCTTCCAGGCCACATGAACCTGTGTTTTTTCTCTTTACATTTCTGTGCACAGGTGGTTGCTGGAGGAGATGTGAGTGTGGTCACAGGGCATCAGCAGGAGCCTGCCAATTCTGCTCTTCCTTTCACTGGGCTTACGTCTAGCAGCATATTTCAGGATGATTTAGGGTGAGCTCATATATTATAGCTGGTGTATCTTTGGTCCCTTATGAATCAGATCTTCTGACAGTTGCATTCTTTGTCCCATGTTCTTAACATTCACAAAGAGACGAATTAATGGATGAAGCATGAAATACAAAAACCAAGTGCGTCTCAACTGCCGAATAACTATGGCATGGATTTAGCTAGTCAAAGGTAGATAGATAACATTATTCATAAATAGATTATGCATGGCACTATGTTTCCCATGTTTCAATTTTCATTTATTGGGGGAAATATTTTAGTTTTGCTGTCACCTCCCTGTGTGACATAAGCAAATGAAATCTACCCTTTCCAAATTTCCATCACTGCCTCCTCATTTAATATAAAGCACTTCACAGTATTTCACAGTATTGGGTAACATTCTTTGACTATAAAAGCATGGGGAAAATAGAGAGGGAAGAGAGGGGCCTTTAAAATAATTTCTGGCCAGCGCCATGGCTCACTAAGCTAATCCTCCGCCTGCAGCGCCGGCACCCCAGGTTCTAGTCCCAGTTGGGGTGCCAGATTCTGTCCCAGTTGCTCCTCTTCAAGTCCAGCTCTCTGCTGTAGCCCAGGAAGGCAGTGGAGGATGGCCCAAGTGCTTGGGCCCTGCACCCCATGGGAGACCAGGAGGAAGCACCTGGCTCTGGCTTCGGATCAGCTCAGCGTGCTGGCTGTAGCGTGGCCGTTTGGGGGGTGAACCAACGGAAGGAAGACCTTTCTCTCTGTCTCTCTCTCTCTCTCTCTCTCTCTCTTTCTCTTTCGCTAACACTGCCTGTCAAAAAAATAATAATTTCTAAGTACTTTGATGTAACTTTTACGTTGCTTATAATTAATTTTTCTCTCTGAGCTCAGGAGTACTGGCATGTAAGACTTAATGTGCGTCTTCTAAACTTTTGCCCTCTGATTTTAAACAAACTGCAGAAAGAAACAACTGCTCTATACAGTTAGAACATGCCGTGAATATGTGAGTTTACAGAAACCATAAATGAGTAGTAGAATTAGGGTGGTAACTAGGACTTCATTAGACTGTAAATTTAAAATACTGAGCATAGCATGCACTGACAGTGGAAGCATCGCAAAGATACTTGTAATATACTCACAAACAGTAACAGAGAATTATGCCAACTCTAGGCAGATGTCAGATAATCTAACACTTACAGATTCACAGATGCATATATATTTGCAAAACCCCACACCTCTTTTTCTCTTCTCCTTACTCTAGACCTCCCCAGTGTAAGTCTATTACTCTGGACCGGGGACCAGATGGCCTAGGCTTCAGTATAGTAGGAGGCTATGGCAGCCCTCATGGAGACTTACCCATTTACGTTAAAACTGTGTTTGCAAAGGTAAGCTTGCACATTCTAACCAACTGCTTTGCCCCGAAAAATTCATTAATAGTGGTCAGCAGCTGGCTTATTAGTTTATGGCCTGAGGTAATGCCAAATGGTTAACAGTTGATCATTTTCTTTCGAAACTCCCTACAGAAATAGGTCATTAAATATTTTTGTCCAGTTTGAGGTTTAGTCATGTTTAAAGGAAAATAGACTCAAATTGAAGCTCCGTGGAAACTCTTGACAGTATACATAACACTATTAATGAACTTTGTGGTTAGGAAAGCCCTTTTTTCTCCTTTGAATGCAAGTTACACATGATTGCTTTTGAAAATGAGACCTTTTAAGTATGTATGCCATAAAGAACTGGAATTATTTTCTTTGCATTTTTTGTTATGAAATATCAAATAGGCAAAGTAATGTACATCAAATACATACACAAATTAACCAATATGGCATTTATTTTACAAGTCTAATTCATTCAGTAAAATAGAAATCTAACCACTAAAATATTGGAGGAATATGAGCCACTCTGTCATCTTTAATCAACTATTTGTGATCAACAAAATCTGATTTTTTTAAAAAAAGAAGGCCACTTATATATAGTTGTAATTGTAGAGGAAGTTCTATCTTGAGAATGTTTAGAGTAAAAATAAAGATATTGTACCATTGGTGAAACTATTAAAATAATTTAAACCCACATAAATATTACTAATATGTTGTTAAGATATTTTCCCAAGAGCTACAAAGTTGGGTAAAGTTACCTACAGGAGAAAATTCAGAATTTCATAATTTTATGATGTAAAGGAGCAAGACAAATCCTTCAAATATTTCTTATAGGGGCTTTATATTAGTACTATGGTCCTTCAATCTATGGAAGCTTCATTCTATTTTGGAGGGAGGTAAATTTATTATTTCCAACCAGTTTAAAGCACTACAGCTACAGCAAGCTAGCTATGGGTTTAATTTATGAGTTTTTTTTTTCCTAAGCTATTGGTATATCCAAAAATATAAACAGCATTTGCCAGTGAATAGAAAAGTCACGCAGTCCTTTTCCTCAGCCTAGGAACAATTTATTTAAGGCATGCTAGTTAGAACATATTTTAAGAATTTCATCATTATAGATTCCTCATTAACTTTTCCATATTTTTAATCTTAGATATTTAATTGCATAATTGTATTCTATAAGCATGCCTTAAGATGTGGTTCTCTTTTAAACAGCAATGTGTGTGTTTAATCTTAATCATTTAGGCCCCATTGGAAATGAAGAAACCATCTACCCTTAGGAAGTAACAACTAAGACAGCTTGAACAGCATTTTCAAAGCCATAGGGGAAAAAAATTAGAATTAGCAGTAGGTTCTACATGCAGGAGTCAGGCCTTATCCTGCTCCAGTCAGTGTTTATGTGGGCTGGTTGCTTCTGCAAAACCTTGGGTTTTATAGTTCTGTCCTTGTCCTATAAAACTGCTTTTGTTCTGTCTTAAACCTTTGGCTTCTTTCTGTAGGTTTTCTTTGTAGGATAGAAAATCCTGCATTCTGTGAAATCTCTCCTCCTAGGCAGATTCCCAAATATTCTTTATTAATTTGAGTTCCTACCAACTGCTGTGCTGAACAGCCAAAAAACCACGCAGCTCAGCTATTGACTTTAGAATTCCCGCTCACATTAGAATCTCAGGGCTGAAACTCTTTAGGTAAAAGGGCTGTTTTGTGTATGTTCATCATTGCTGGTAGCTGCGGAACACCTGTGGAGCAGCAGGAGTACTGTGTGTACACACAGCAATTTACTTTCTTGTTTAGATCTGCTTCTGTTGTGTGGCTGTGCGGCAGCATTTGGGGGACATAAACAAGCCTACTTTGTAATTTCAGGGAGCAGCCTCCGAAGATGGGCGTCTAAAAAGGGGTGATCAGATCATTGCCGTCAACGGACAGAGTCTAGAAGGGGTAACCCACGAAGAAGCTGTTGCCATTCTTAAGCGGACAAAAGGCACAGTCACTTTGATGGTTCTCTCCTGAATTGCCTGCCAGAATTGAGCCAACCCAAGCACCCTTGTTCTCCCCTCAGAGTACAGACTGTGGAACTTGGCGTGTTGATGACTTTTCCTAATGTTAATTTGAGTTTTGAGTATTTTTCTCATACGGAAATGGTTTTCTTATAACCTAGTATCACCTTTTCTTTCCTCTTGCATTTTGTGAACCTAGACCCAGAAGGAGTATTTATTTGCATAGATAAATCCAGTTTTCCTTTTTTTTTTGGGGGGGGGATATATAAGATTTTATCATCACATGGGCAAAATTCTTATGTGCTAAACTGGTTAGTAGAGAAAGAAAAGTAAGTGTAAAGGTAACCAAAGATCTATGTGTTTAGCAAATTAGGTGAAAAAGAAAATATAAAATAAAGAAGAAAATCTTGGAGTTTCATAAATGTGTATCAACTTTGCAACCCACCTCCTCTCCACAGTAAAAAAAAAAAAAATTGTATTGAAAATCTTTTAAAATATTCCCAGCATTTAAAAGTTTTGAATATTCAAAATTGTACCTCCCCAATTATACAGTTTTCCTGCTAAAATTGAATTATGATTGAGTAAACAGCAAATATATGAAGCAGTTCCCCTAAGCTTTATAAAGAAATTATACATAATGCACATTTTGATATTCATTTTCATTTTTTGACCTTTTATAAAATATTTTCCTGTTGCTATGAGTAAAACAATGATACTACCCCATGTTGACTGTGGATTTTCCAAAAGCAACCATGCTGATCATGAAGAGACATTAAAGAATCTAAGAATCTTTTACTGCTGGTTTAACAACTAATGCAATACTAAAACTGTGTTGATCTGCTGTATAATTGGTTTTCAATTAGTATTAATCTTAATGACAGAGAAAAAAGCAATGCATTAGTAATTATTTTGGTTGTGTGCCATTAGTAAATTGATAGAAAAATTAAGGGGATTAACATAACTTCATTTCATTGCCTTATATTAACATCTTATAATACAATAGTTTAAGACTAAGGGAAACAGATGGAACTGTTTATTGCGACAACTGGTGAGGAATTATCATGTGTTCACTCCCATTTTAGAGCGTGAAACTCCTACATTAGAATATATAAAGTCACTTTAAATATTATCTATATTTGTAACAGAAGTAGTGTACAGATATTTTATTACAGCATTTTTGTGTAAATGAAGAATTAAAGTGAATAAATAAGAAGTTTCAGTGGTGCACAAATAAAGAAGCAGGCGTGTTTTTTTGTTTTGTGCTTTTTACTGGCAAAAAGGTTTATTGTATTGTTCGAGACTTACTTAAACTGGTTTTCATCATGTCTGACTGCACATATGGTGTCCATAGTTACAACTAGAGGAACTGTGGAAGGCGTCTTTATGAAAAGCCCAGTACATTTTTACCTCCACAACTTTTTCTAATTTGAGAGATTCATAAGTTCCTCCGGAGCAGAGGAAGATGTCTTCATAGGAGGAGAAGTGTTCTGCTTGTGGACGTCTACCTGAGTGCTGGCAATGGAGTAATATCACCAGTTATTCTTTTTGAGGAGTCAGGACCTATCGTACATTCAGATGGAAAAAAGTCACAATGAAAATTATTTATATTAATAAACATGAAAAGTCTGTTTGAATGTTGAGGAAAGAATTTGTGCTATTCCATAAGTTCTGCCCCATATTAGACAACAAACATGTGCATCCCTTCTGAATCACCTCATCTGTGAGATAATAGGTTATTACATGTCTAAATTTCTACTTAGTTCTAAAATATAAGAATTCTGTGATTCTTAGTTGCATGTAAGACGCATGGATAAAACTACATATTGCAGCAATTTTGTAAGCACATATTGCAACCATCATTGTAAATTGAGGTGCATTTTATTATCCCAGTGACAAATCCAGCTTCATAGTCATCACTCAATGTCCCTGACGGTGTGCCAGGATCATTTCATGGCAGGCTGCTGGAAGCTGAATTGCCCTCTTTATAAGTTTGCACCAGCAAATGTCTCTGGATTACATTCTTCAGCAGACTGTAGGAGGGAAGGTCAACCAACTAAATAGCTGGGAGTACCGCCCTAGAGAGCAGCCCAAGAAGTATCTCTCCAAGCTTCAACAGTAACCTGTAGACCTACAGCAATAGTTTTTCTGGGTGTAATTAGTAAAGACCATATGGTGAGAGTGAGCCCTGTCCCATCACTGGTTCCCTTATAAGAAAACCATGTGAAGACCCAAAGACAAAGGGAAAGTGGACATGTGAAGTTGGAGGCAAAACAAAACAAAACAAAATAATAAGCCAGGGAGCATAATGGCCACTAGACCCTGGAAGACGCAAGGAAGAATTTTTTCTTCAGGTTTCCAGGAGGTTGTGACTTGCTGACACCTTGATTGCAGATCTCTGGCCTCCAGAACTGAAAGTAAGTTTCTTTTGTTTTGAGCAACCCAGTTTTTAGTGCTTTTTTACAGAAGTCCTGGGAACTAGTATGGTATTTTAAGTATTTTTATATACTGAGCTACTAGCATTATACCTGCCCAGTAGGAGAGGCTGTTTGAATTGCTGTTCACTAACAACATCAAAACAATTGAAAGAGAAAAGGGAAGGAAAGAAGGTAAAGTTTGTGAGGAAAAGAATAGATTCATCAGCACTGGAGAAAAATAACAAAGCTTTAGCTTCACTTACTGTCTTCTGGAAGTGCAGGAGTTCTCTGCAGTGAACCTTGAGTTTAGAGACAGATGAGTGTCGGTGCCATGTGTGACTCAAGACAGGGTGTGGCCATTAATAGTTTCAATTTAACTGCTATTTCATTTAAGTCTTAGTGGAGAATGCCACAGATTTCTGTTCTTCCTCAGTGCTCCAAGAGGATAATAATAACAAGAGTGCTTCATGTCTGTCCTGATATGTAGCAGCAGGAGTACCAGGAAGGTGTGAGCAATCAGTAGAACCCATACATTGGAACCGTAATGGAGCTGGTCTGTGAAGAGTTTAAAAGTCACGGGATCAAGAAAACAACAACAGAGGGCTTCGTTTTTGGTTTGTTTCTTGCTAAGGATCTCAACAAAGCATATTTTGTTAGAAATAAAGAAGCAGGGGCCAGTGTTGTGGCATAGTCGGTAAAGCAACCACCCGTGGCACCAACATCCCATATGGATGGCAGTTCGAGTCCCATGTGCTGCACTTCTGATCCAGCTCCCTGCTAATGCACCTGGGAAGGCAGTTGAGGACAGTCCAAATCCTTCGACCCTTGAACCCATTGGGGGAGATCCAGAAGAAACTCCTGGTTCGTGGCTTTGGCCTGGCTCAGCCCCATTTGAGGAGTGAACCTGCAGATGGAAGACCTCACACTCTCTGTTCCTCCCTCTCTCTGTAACTCTGCCTTTCAAATAAATAAATCTTAAAAAAAAAAAAAAAAAGGAAGAAAGAAGCAAAGGGATCTCTGTTCTGAGATACTGTTGTCCTATGCCTCTAGAGGATTGACTAGATATTGACTGAGAATGACACAAAGTGATTTAGTGCCATTCCTCACAACCCAGTAAGTAAATTGAGAGGTTGAAAAAGGATGTCTGAGGCTGGCACTGTGGTGTCGTGGGTTAAGCCACTGTCTGCAGTGCCAGCATCCCAGTACCAGTTTGTGACCCACCTGCTTCACTTCTGATCTAGCTCTCTGCTATGGCCTGGGAAAGCAGCAGAAGATAGCCTAAGTGCTTGGCTCCTGCACCCACGTGATAGACCCAGATGAAGCTTTTGGCTCCTGGCTTTGACCTGGGCCACTCCTGGCCTTTGTGGCCATTTGGGGAGTAAACCAGTGGATAGAAGATTAATTTTCTGTTTCTCTCTCTATCCCTTTCTCTCCCTCTCCCACTCTCCAACTCTGCCTTTCAAATAAATAAATAAATCTTTAAAAAAAAAATGTTGCCTGCAGGGAGAAAGAGTAAATAGACTTTCTTTTTTTTTTTTTTTTTCAAGTCTAAGTGTGGGAATGTCAGAACTTTCATCACCTGCTCTCAGCTGTCCTATACGTTGTTTCATGTCAGTGACAGATATTCAGGAATGCATTTGATTTGTGCAAAGATGCTCCTCAAATGTGCATGCTAGAAATTGATGTTTAACCTTGCCCCTTCCTAAATGGAGTTATATGAAAGGCAGAACTGGCCTCTGTTACCTCCAGAGGAGAGAAAAATGTTGGTGTCAAAATTTCTCAATAGAAGAGGATGAAAACTAGAAAAAGAAGATGTTCTTAAAGTGATGTATGCTTGGCTTTGCAGTCCCCCCCAAACTTACAAGTATTTCATATTGTCCATTTCAGTGTAAATAAAAATATTATTTGTTCAACAACTGTAATTGTCAGTCAAGTACCAAGCAATTAATAGTGGGCCTTTCAAAGGAACTCTGTCAAAAGGAGCTGCATTTATGGTAATGATCTCAGGATTGTCTCAATGAAGATGTTTCTGGAAGTTTTCAAAACTGTGGTAGCATCAAAAGATTGCCCTCAGCATCTCGCAGGAGCATGTATCAACTGCTTCACTTAAAAAAAGGATTCTTGTTTTGAGAAGGTTGTCTATTTGTGAATATTTGGTGATCCTTTTTCCTTCCACCTTCCTCCTTATTATATGCATATTTTCAGAAACAGTCATCCTTGAAAGCTACCTCTTCTTATTTCTTATTGATGTATTAAAAATTATGATTTTTCAACCAAGTCTACCCTGAGATATTTCGCACTTGAAGTTCCACTCCCCTAAACTTCATGAGCATATAGGCATTTTATTCTATTCAATACAATTAATAGTTTTACCTTGATTTGGATAGTAAAATATTAACACTGTGCACAGAATAAGCTATGAAGAATTGGTAGTAGTTGTACTTATCCTAGAAGACATAGAATAATAAAAAGTCAATAGTTTCTTCAAATAGCCATCAATTTTAATTTTTGTGCAGTTGTGTCTTTTTGTTCTGAAATTGGATGCAAATCAACTTATACTAAATTTTTCAAAATTTCAGTCGTTTTGGGAACACCCTTCATGATGTTTCCCATATCTTCTAACTGTACTATTAATCACTAAATATTTTTAAAGTAGAATAACTTTTTAACTTAAAAGTGCTTGATGGAGAAATTATACATCAGTGCTTTAAATGGAAGCTCAATAAAATTTGCCGTAAATATGAAATAACTGAGCAAAAGCTATAAATTCTACCCAGATATTAAGGTCTACCAAGGATCAGGACTGGAGGCCTACTCTGTGATAAAGGGAAATTGCAAATGTTATAATGGTATTCAAAACTTAGTGGAAACTATTTCCTGGACTTAAAGAAACAAAGATATTTTCATACCTTGATTATGTGATTTAACATGAAAGGACTTTAAAACTACTTGGAAATTTTGCATTATTTTTAACTTCACTTGTCTGTGAATTTACAGAGCCCCTAGTTTTTGCTAGTGCCTTATCAATGGCATGTAAAATGATCTTACGGTGTGCTCTCTCTGTAAAAATAAATAAATAAATAGATAGATAGATAGATAAAACACTATTAAACCAAAGTCAGTAAGGTTTTGTTTATGGGACTCTTTTTTTTTTTTTAATATGAAAGCCAGTCAATCAGTTTCTGTTGTTTAGAGTATACTTAGCTATGGAAGTTGCTAAACATTTCATTTATAATATAATGCTTTCACTGAAATCAGAATTAGGTCATTGTGTCCATTGCCTTCATTTTGGCAATCTGAGTTTGAAATAAAAGACAAATGACATAAATTAATGGAGTAAAATTAATGTTGTGGTAATATTAAATAAAGCTAATGCCTCTTGCACCTGGAGGGCTATACAGATGGCAGGCATACCTAATTACGCACCCTGCTGCCTGTAAGTGTACAGATAAAATCTCTCAACGGAATATAAAATATGTTCATTCACTGGCTCCATAAAGGTATGAGTAAGACACACAATACACAAAATCAGAACCTAGAATTCACATTTTTTAGGAAAAAAAATATAATTCTAGTGGTGAAATGCACTGAGGAAATATTCAGCTGATTTTAAAAATAAGTCATTATTTCAGTTTGGTCTTTCTCTTCCTGTGAAGATTAAAGGTACATGTCAATCCCATTAGAAAAAGCTTACTCTGAATCCAGTAAGGAAGTACTTAAATTTAAGATTATATTTTCACTTGCTACATATCAGTGGAAAAGAATAATTTACTATTAAAATCCTAAACAAATTGATTGGATTTATCCAGGAATAAACTAGATTAATTATTGCTT